GCAACTTGTGAGAACTTAGCCTCCAAATTAAGAAGTCTTGGAATGCGGGTGAAGTGGTGCACATCACTCTAATCTCGACGCAGCGCCGAAACCTGTTCGACTCCTAACCCATCTTAAGTGACCTGATAAGGTGAGCTTAGGGTACCCTGGTGGAAACGACAGTCAGTGCCTACATTAGCTGATCTCTAGTTCAGTCGTTGAGCGCTCAGTTCAGTTCAATTCCTAGCTGACTGGAAGACGTGGGTCGAGTGAAGTGGATGTTTGCTGGGCTTGTTTGTGCGAAATGAGGAACGCGAACTAATTAGTAATGCTTAAGGTTCATTTTCAAGTCCAGGTAATTAGGTGACCTCTTAATATGTTTGTAGCTTACGCTAGCTAATGGCTATTGCAAGAACTGCAATCCGATGTTAAATCATTGACATACCGGCACTCACGGCATGGCCAGCACTGGCACGTGGAAACGTGATTACCTGCGTTTGAATGCACTTGATTGGCGCCTGGCAGGTGCCGGCTGCCAACTGTCAGGTTTAGTGCAGGTTAGTCCGCATCACATTCTATAAAACTCATTGGCCTGGGCCGTAAAGGTAAAATATGCTAGCCTAGAGCTGAGACTTGAGAGAGCTGGTTGGTAACAGGTCACAGGACAGATTTGCTGCTCCACATTTGATCGGTTTTAACTACCAACTTGATACCAGCCTATTTAGACTAATTTCCGTACCATTAAATAGATTAATAAATAAATAAATAAACAAATAAATACATATATAAGGCTTGGATAGCGAGCTTTGGTCGCGTTACATTTTGCTCCAAACGTACCGCAATCCTAGACACCAACATATTTTACGGTTGACATTTTTATTTGCCAGCAGTCGTGAGAACCGCTGCTGCATTACATGCGCCTCGCCCCAGCTTCCCTGACCCTACCTCAGCTCAGAGCAAACGAGGTCTTCTAGTACGGTCTGACGTCACCAGCACGGTCTGACGTCACCGTCCCCGTGACAACAGGCCGGTCAACTCTCAGCCAGCGTCCACCAAGCAGCCTCCGGCGACCCGCGCCCGTCGACCTGCCTGACCCCGATCCGCCCCCGACGGCAGTCCGCCAGAGCGCCGGCGCCGCGTCCGTCGCCACCGGAGTGCCGGGACCGCGTCTGTCGCCACCGGAGTGCCAGGACCGCGTTCGTCGCTACCGGAGTGCCAGGACCGCATCTGTCGCTACTGGAGTCCTGGGACCGCGTCCGTCGCTACCGGAGTGCGGAGACTGTGTCTGTCGCCACCGGAGTGCCGGCACCGCGTCCGTCGCTACTACAGTGCCGGGACCGCGTCCGTCGCCCCTGGAGTGCCCGGCCGCATCGTGTCGACAATTTGCAGCGGGATAATGACAGATGGTGGGCGCTTGGTGACGGGTGGCGCCCTCCTGCTGTCGCCATCTATCTGCCGACTGACGGATGAGGCAGCGCCGGCGGGCCACCGCCACGTTCTAATGGCCGCACCGCGCGCGCCACACGCCGAAGGCCCTGCGCACGTGACCTGCGGCTGACGGTCGGATACCAGGATGTGACTCGGCTGATGAAAAGACCTAAGGTCATGGCCTGGCTGATGAGAGGATAGCAGGTTGCCACCCGACTAATGGGCGGACTCCGGGTCGTAGATACCGCAACATACGTTGGCTAGCGGGGAGCAGCACGGCGCTGCCCGACTAATGGCTCATAGGGGGGTTTCTGGCCGTAAACCGACTAATGATAACACAGCCAGGGCCTGACAGTATCATGAGGTCGTGATCTCAGATGTTAACCGACTAATGATAACACAGCCAGGGCCTGACAGTATTATGAGGTCGTGATCTCAGATGTTGATGAGAAAATGCGATTTCTGAAACAAAAACTGCACCCATTTGGGAGAGGGGCGGGGGAGGTGGCAGAAATTATGTGGCCACTTAATGTGTGTTCGCCAAGTATCACACATTGCGTGCGACAGCGTCCAACGGGCCAGCATTTCATGCCGTGTTCGCAGATATATTTTTGGGTCATCCAATGATCGAAACAAGTTAATTCCGCCATGAGGTGTGCAATCCTACAATTACACACTTGTGCATCCCGTCTGATTTCAAGTAATTAAGAAACCCGCGGCAACGATACAGCTCTCACTAAATCAACCACCCAAGAAGCCAACACGGGCTGGTTGCGGGTACCAAGCAGCAGCAATCGAGAAATCACTTAAGCATTCAAGCGCGTGCAAGCGGCATCAATCTCATAACGCGACATAAAATTATAAATCTTCAGCCAATGACCAACGCAACAAAGGTAATTAGCCCTGAGCAGGGTGTGTACACTATCAATATCCTTGAGTGTTGTCTTAGCGGAGGCAAATCCTATGTAGCGTTTTTGGAGTTCATACATGTTTCACTTCAATCAAGGATGTATGTTCGGGCGTTGTTTTATCGATGCTATAACAACGAAGCAAGTGCTTTTTAGTCCCCGGCAGTTGCTGTTGGGGTTAAACTTTAAATTCAACGCGTTGGAGCCAAAGCTTCGTAGCCCGACCAAACTTGTCAGGACAATGTGTTTGAAGCTCCGACAATAAGACAAATAATAACATAGTTTTATGAGAAGGTTACGTGCATATTACCGACCTACCATGATCCTGGCACCATGATATCGCTAAGAGCGGCGCCACATTTCGAGTTTGCCTTATTTAAACTATAGCACAATTGCGAACTTGGGCAGCTCGAACCGGCGCAGCCAAACCGTACGTCACATTTTCCAAAATAATTCCAGAGATCCCAGCCACTGGTCGCTGCTTCATGCAGTTTCAACAGCAGGTGCAATTGGCTAGAACTTGTGCTATTTGCATTGCGAGGCAATTTCATGTAAACTTTTTGTCACGCGCGATTTTGTGATAATTACATTCGTGCGATATTGCAAATTAAGCGGAATGTAGCTTTTCCCATTCGATTTCCACCCAAAACATAGCATTTGCCAACTGCGAAAAAACTACATAACGCCTGTCAAAAAAGAGTCTAGAGCCCATCCATAAAGATTCGCAGCGACATGAATCAAAACATTTCGACGGAGGGCAATCAGACATGTTTACAAGCCTGTGGGTCGATGCGTGCAGCCTCTCACGCGCATCTCAGCATATCCATGGATCCAGCGTTTCAGAAATTTTTAACGAGCAATGCCAGGTGTAGGCAACCATGACAGACAAAGCTATGGGGGCAACTGCGTGACGTTTAAGCGAATGCATTATCTGCGAATCACTAAAAGATACATCACTGGCAAACCCGCGGGTGAGCCATTTGTCGACCGGAAAACGACTGCCGCCATGTTTTTTTTTAAAACGGCCACACAAACATAACATTTTGACCTAACACAATTTGGATTCGACCATACGCGTTACACGGACGCGTAGTCCTGTGGATAGTAACTAAGGTTCCCATAAATGCTCGCATTCTTTGCAATGCCCCGGCCACGGTCGTCAAAAGATAGCCGATTCCAAGCTCATCGTTATCGTCGGCGTAAAGTACCAGGCCGGCTAGGCCCACGGTCAGTCGATTTTCAGACGACATGTGTGAATTGGTACGTAAACGCTAAATAAGTTAACTGTTTTTCTGGCCAGCTTGCATGGTTTGCACGTGAAGAACAGACGTTCCGATGCATAAATAAAACTCATTCGTATTGTTCAAAAAGATATATGGTTTCAGTGGCAGGGGTTCTGAATCATCTACACGATGATGGCCAGCCTTACTTCTGTTGTTACCTCGGCCGTCCCACATCGCAAAAATCGTATGTTGGTACACATAACTCAACACATTCAAACAGTATCAAAGCAAACACGAAATAATGCGAGAATTGGATGATTTAAGATCTGTTTTCCTAGAGTTAAAAACAACGAAATGACAAGACCGGGATTTTTCCCTGTCCTGGGGCGGTGATAGTCCCATTTTGAGATCTTCTTCATGGTTTTTAAAATGATATTTACCTCATTTTGTGTTTCGGGGAAGTTTTTGACTGGATTTGATTGAGCTGTTTCGACTGCACTGGCAGCTTTTTATAATTAATATAACCTGCTAAGCGCAAACGATATATCTATATATATATATATATATATATATATATATATATATATTAAAGCGGTGGCTGAAAAGTCTGCTGATAAAACAAACTTAAGTTTGCTGTGTTGTTTTAGGATTAGATTGGAATACGACTTATTCGGCACCATTTCCGCTCCAGTGCAGTGGAATTGATTCAGTGCGTAAGTGACAGTGCATGACGACTATTCCGACTCAGACTCCGAATGGTATCGCACGATGTGCAGAAAGCTTTCATTCCGGCTCGAATAAATGAATGATGTCAGTAATCGAGCTCACTCAATGGGTTTGTTTTACAACACTTGTGTGCCAATGATTGCACTCAAAAGAATACATGTCATTTCTTCTTATTTTATTTGAATCGGCTTACTGTGGATTTTTGCACATACGATCCACTCGTCTTCGACTAAAAATTGGACGTATTTTGCTGTTCATTGCATACATTGACCGAGAGTTTTGTTGGTCCCGGACCATTCTCGTTATGCCGCAAGTCAGTCAAAAGTCTGAACCCATCTCGGAATTATATCCGCGATGATCTCATCCCTGAAAAACATTCATGAATTTATATTTACTCTCTGCGGTCCCGCCAGGGTCCTGATGGACCCTAACTGAAGGCCTCGGGACCCCGAACCGGACACGAGCCCTGTCTTCCAAGACTCGAACTCTGACTCCGTCTCATGCGTGGCGGCAAAGCTGAATTGGCTTCGACTCCCTTTTACAGGACCTTGGGACTTGCGATCAGAACACTGATTCATAAGATTTGAGGGTAGAAAACTTGAGGCGCGGGCGCGATATGGGGACAACGCGAACAGGACTCCACTCAGATTCTTTACACTTGAATGAATGCCTTGTTTTGAATGAATGAACCCAATGAATGAACTCAGATTCTTGTTTTAGTATGCCCGGTACTCACGGTGTGAATCGTGCAGGTCAAGCTTGCAAGGGCTTTCGTCACTCGCCCGCTCGAGCGCGACAGCACCGCTCCGGACTAGCCACCTCCTCCTGGCCGTTCTGTCACGCGAAATAAACCATGCTCATTGCGGACAAACCCCGACATCTAGCTGCCGATCTGAGTACTAGTGTTTTCCCCACCTTTTTCTATACTAGGTTTTTCTCTCTTTCTTTCCTCTACTTTCTTGAAATATGGTAGTCAAAATGACGACATCCATAACGCACTAGAGTCAAAATCAGGCACAGCTTAAACAGTACATATCGCTTTGCCTCAGCCGTGCAGAAGTCTCCATTACCCGGCTTCCAAGAGGTGCTCAGCCGGTTATTACGTATTTTCTGAGGTGCTGGTAGTTTTAGTGTGCTTGGAGATCAAGATAGGAGGAGTGATTGCCCCTTCTTCCCATTCGCTGATGGTTGTGTCATTCAGACAGGTCCTCCGGCCTCCAGTGCACTGTTCTGGTGAAATATTGCGCATTCAATGCAACTCTTGTTTTCCAGGAATTTTGTGGAGCGATTGGAGCCAGATACAACTATGGAGAAGATATCATTCTGTCTTGATTCTGATGATGGCTGGGTGCAAGAAGAGGTGAGTTTAGATATGAGTTAAGGTTTAATTTTTATGAACATTCAAGTAAATAAAATATTTATGCATACATCACTTCATGTCTGTGTTCTTTAGAGAAATAGATGTGTATACAATGGAATGAATGGTTGTTTAGCACCACACACATGGGGGAATGAATGCCACTCCAAAAACATCATGTCGGTGCCATAGGTCTCAACTTTAGAATGCATTACTGCTGAAAAGTTAATATTTTGAATTGCAATGTATCATGAACAGGGTGAATTCAAGCAACATACTTTTCTACCTGGTTGTATGATCAGTTCTGACTAACAGTGGTATTGAAGGTGGACCCATGATATTGGTGTAGGAAGACAATTCCTTCTTTTATGCATGTGTTACTGCCTTTATTTGTGAGTACATTTTGTTTTCTCATTCTGGTAACTTCATTATGACATTTATTGCACAAAAGCTGGCACCCTTTTTTCTGGATATTCTTTTCACTGTAATGAGATCTTATTTTGATAACTACATTTTGAATGTTTTCTGGATGCATAAGCATAGTGTCTTGTGACAGCAATGTTTTATTCTGCAGGGAATCCTGAAGCTATGTGAGATACTGAAGGAAGCTGGGCCAGATGTGTGTGAGGTAAATGCCAGGGAGTGCATGAAGCTTATTGAATAGTGTAAGGTTCTGTGAGAAAGCTGAACAGTGGCCTAAGGTCCTGAAGATAATTATCCTGAAAGCAGTTATGAATAAGCTTCAAAAACATACTAACATGTGTTCTACCTGTTTTGATGATATAATCTGAGTTATTTGCTGTACTTCACATTACTTATGTGTTTGGTTTTTGGCTATATGGTATTTGATATAAAGTAGGTGGGCATTGTATGGTTGAGGTAGTAGTGAAATCACACAGACTGTTGAGTCATACAGAGAGCACAGAGATCACACAGACTTTGGTTTTGCTGTCCCCACAATGATCCATGGGGACCAAGATATGTGCAAATATTTAAATGACTCATAAAGCATTGCTTTGTCAGCCCCCTCAGAATACATTTGCTTGCTGTACCAGCCTTGTTGATTTTTGGGTATTGTTTATGTTATCATGTAGTGGCCAGTATCTAGCTGTATTATTACAGATCTGCAATATTGGAACAAGGGTAGGAATAGGGTTCTGTCCTTCTCATCTATGGGGAATGTAATCTAGCAGTATCTCATCAGCATGCCATAATAAAGGCAGGTCAAGAACTGTTTCTGCCTCTCAAACCATTTGAAAGTTCCTCTGCACATGGCTGGAGATGACACGGCCCCTCGTTTTGCAGATGGCCGCTCCATGTATGGTTGACCTGTGCCTCTCTGACTGCAGTCGGCAGAGTTTGGCCGGCTGACGGAGCAGCTGACGGCCCGGCGTCCGTCGGTGGCGCGCCGCGCCGCCGTCGCTCTCGTGCAGCTCGTGCGCCAGGCGGTGGTGCCGCTGCCGGCCGCGCTGCGCGCCACGCTGACATCGGTGGCCGTCGACAGGTGCGTGACACCAAGCACGGAAGGTATGCTGGCTGGTGCGGCGGGACAGGGTTGAGCTTTTGATCTGGTGTGGATATTTGATCTGCACCCCACCCTGCCCCCTCCCTTTGACAAGTTAAAGCTGTGCTGACTGGTATGAACAGTAACTGCTCCCTGGCATCTGGTCATGTGTCCCAGCTCTGTTGACTGTGCAGTGTGGGCCGTAGCTGTTCTCTGGCCTCTGGTCATGTGTTCCAGCTCTGCCAACTGTCTAGTGTGGACTGTAACCGTTCCCTGGCCTCTGCTCATGTGTTCCAGCTCTGGTGATTGTCTGGTATGGACTGTAACAGAGCTGGTGGAGCTGACACTGCTGGCTGCTGCCGGCGGCCAGAAAGCGGCCAGTCCACTGACTGGCGCCTACCACCCTCACGTGAAGTTGCTGCGCGCGCTACCGCTCCGTTGGCCACAACTGGTGGTCGAGGTTGAGCGGCTGCTGCTGGCCGACACCAGTGTCACGTGAGCTTGCGGCGCGCGCCCACTGGCCCACCAGGTCCGGTGATGAGGCGCATTGGTTTTTAGGTGATACTCACACAGTGTCACAGTGTGCGCTACATGTTGAGGAGCAAACGTTTTTCGTAATGCTGCGGGGCTTATGACAACTATGTAAATTTAATGCAAGCTTTCATTGGCTTCGCAATGCTCACTGCAGGTTGGCGCGAATGCCAGCGGACCAAATGGATTGGGTTAAGTTAAGTGCGGCGTGATTCATTCCAAGCTTTCAATCTGTGGGGATCATCAGTGTCGGAGGAGTGTGCAGAAAGCTGTTGGCACCTACTAGACGTTGTGGCGTGTTTGGGACTGTGGCGTGACTGTGGGAGCTGCGCCATGTCAGCGGGCCCTGTGACGTGTCGGCCGGAGCCCTGCCTCGCCTTCGCGTGGCACGCCGATCTGGGCGGCAGGTACCGGGACCTGGCCGTGGAGTACGTCAGCCCGCTGCTCTGGGCCAGCTGCGGCCAGCACGCCCCGGCCGGACTGCGTCACGGCCTGGTGGCGGCTCTCTGCCGACTGGCACGACTCAGCAGGAGCTCCCGGCCCGTGCTGCGGGCCCTGGGCGTGCTCGCTCGACTCCGGGTCAGTACCTGGCGCATGCTGGTCGCTCGCAGTGGAATGTGACGCCCGCCCGTTACGTTACGCTCCGAATGTTTCGTCCAGCTCCGCCTCACCGTGTGACTGCGACGTTCTAACATGTAATGAGGGTACCGGTATGGGTCCAACATCGGTATGGGTCCATCAGTGCTGCAACATCTATATGGACTCAAACGAACATGTGCATTCACGCCTCCCGGGTACTTTACGATGCTACAGCATAGCGCAGCCTGCGTTCCCTGACGTCGCCGGGCAGTACACTGACTTGTCTGAGTCCAGCTTGCGTTGGCCGCGGCTGGGGCGCGGGATGCGTCGCCCGTTCCCCCGCGGACCTCTGACCTCGGCCGTGGGACGCAGGCGCCGGCCGACCAGCTAGCCTGGGAGTTGCCGGCCCTCTGCCGCCTGCTGGTCGACTTCGCGCTCGAAGTCGACGACCGTGCCCTGCTCCGGGCGTTGACCCCGCTCAGCGTGTGCTGCCTGAAGTGGCGGGTAAGGCTTCTGCCGACTGCGGTCGGCGCGGTGCTGGTGTGTGTGTGTGTGTGTGGCCGCGCTCCGCCCCGGAGGAGCTCAGTGGAGTCAGAGCGGCCGCAGCGCTCAATAGTTTGCACAGCCATTCAGATTAGTGCTCGATGAGGCTGATGTAAACCGGATAAAGTCGCCCGCTGTCAAGTCAATGCTGGTCTTGTCATTCTGCGCGGAAGCCGTTGTAAAATTCACCATCATCTGGGACGTTTTCCCTGTGTGGAGTCTGTAACGACCCTGGTGATTCTTCGCCTGATCGTGTTACGGTTCTCCGCCTGATGTATCTATTCTTCTTGACGAGGCTAAGCGTCTCGGCGCTCGCTGTTTTGCACTTGTTGAGCGTTGTAAGCTTCCAGCTCGGTGCTTCACCCGAACGGAGATTTTTGAGTCTCCTCATCCATTTTGAGACGCGCTTGAACGTGGTGCGCCTCTGAAACCGTAGCTCTTCGTGAATTCGATGATGCTTCGGTTCGGTGACAAGTCTGTTGTAAGCTTGATGACTGTTTGCCCCCGCTTTTTAGAAGGATGTATCATGTATCTTTTGCCGTTTGGCCGTCTTGCGACCGACACATTGTCATTAGTGAACTGGGCGATTTATGGCCTTTGCGTTCTGTCCTTGATGAGCCCATAGGTTTTAGGGCAGGAGGTTTATTTAGGTCGAAAACATGTGGGTTACGTAATCATAATGACGTGGTGGATCCAGGGAAAGGAAGTCTCTGACGAGCTAATTCGCACTAACCCAGGAGAACCCACCATCTTAGAATATCTATGAACTTGTAATATGTCTTCTAGGCCTTACAAAAGCAGATGTTACCTCCCTGAAATATTGATATTTGATTTTGGAAATGAAAAGACGTACGTTTCTGATATTTGATTATGAGTAAAATAATAAATTGGAACCACTATTGTGTCAGTCAATTGAGCGTATTCCAGGCGTTTGCATCTGAGTTTGCTTTTTATATTTACAGTGATGTTGAAAAAGTCAGATAATTGTGCTTGCCTCAGCTTGCGGCCGTTTCCCTGACTGCTGCAGTCGATTCGTTTTTATGACGTAAAATGATGCAGTAGTTCAGTGTAATTTAACACAACTCGTGAGACGGTCCAGTCTGCAGTGTGACAGACAGGTAGGGGGGGGGGGGGGGGGGGGGGGAGTGACTGGTTGATTCCGCGACACGAGGAGGGACGGGTCCTCAGGAACCACGGAGAAATACGGTGAATGCATCACATCTCCCCGCTCACTTCACACCCATCTCCATCCTCAGATGACGGAGGGTCTCAGTGACGTCACCTCGGCTGTTGATGACGTCAGGCGGCTGTTGGAACTGGGATTGGGCGGTGACGTCGAGCTGATTCTGTTGTCTGACATCATCAGTCAGTCGTCTGCCCTGTCGCTGCTATCCGGCCAGCTGATCGAAACAGGTGAGGGAGGAAGGCCCTCTACTTCGTTATGTAGTGCAGTTGCCGTTTTCCGATCGACAACATAAAGTGGGGCCTTCCATTCCGACACGGTTCTTTTACGGTTCACGGCTACGGTTCATGGTTCTTCCTTTCGACACGGTTCAGGCTTCATTTGTGGGCGTGATGGCGCGCAAATGAAGCCTGGCGGCAGGATGGTATGTTCCGTCCATTGACCTGCGCTAGCTGCTGCAGCTTCTCCACCATCGGCTGCGTAGGGAAACGGCCCCCGGTGATCCCACAACAGGTGCCAGTTGTTCATAAGCAGAGTAGTTCCATAAGGTTAGTATGTCTAATATCTGACGTCATAGATCGTCACTTCTGAACCGGCGCGGATGTGGACGTGACGCCGCCTTGTCGACTGCAGCGGTTCTCCTGCTGGAGCGGGGCCGCTGGAGCGCGCCCGGCGCTGCGCTGCTGCTGCCGCCGCTGCTGCGCGCCGTCTCCGTGCTGCCGGCGCTGTCGGACCAGCTGGAGCCGCTGCTGGCGCTGTTGGAGACGCCGCCGGCGGCCGGACCCGGCCCGCCGCCGGACGACGCGTACTGGAGAGCCGTGACCGACATCAGTCCGGAGCTGGCCGCCGCCACCCTGCTCGCCCACACGCTCCGGGACACGGAGGAGGTACGTCTGGCGCGGCGGCCCAGACCCGCTGCCGGCCTCCCGCTGCCGCTAGGTGGCGTAGTCACGCGTGGAGCACAGACTGGCGCACACTTTAGAGGGCTGGCTGCTGATGTCTTCCGGGTGAAATGACCTTCCATTACAGTATCGCTATTTATGTTTATTGGTGATGCTGCGATGTAGTTTATGTGCAACCTATAGGTGTAACGATGCTACATTTTTCGACATTAAAGAGCACTGTGCGTGTCGCGCATTTTTTCAAAAAGTGGAATGGAGAGAGTCGAATGACAAATAGTCGGCGGGGATAAAAGTCGGACCGGAAAAATGATGACGGCAAAAGTCGACAGTGATAAAGGCCCGCACAGATAGAAGCCGAATCGGAAAAAGTCAAAGGATGAAATCCAAGAGCGATAAAAGTCAGTGATGATACGAACTGATTTGGGAAAGTCAATTGACAAAAAAATCGGCAGGCATAAAAGTCATAATGAAAAGGAAAAGGACGAAATGGAAAAGATGAAAAGTCCAGAAGGCGAAAAGCTAGCAGGGATTGAACTCAAACCTAGACAAACCTAACGCAACCACGTCAACAGATGGTTTGCTGATGACCCAATATCGGTTCAAAGATATAGCGTAACTGTGAGATTAAAGACCTCCGCGTGTTACAAGTAATATTTGTTAACAGTTTCCTTATCATAAAGGTCTCTACGCCCATCACCTACAAGCATGACCTGAGGCATGCGTGAAAGCACAGCGAAAGGTACAGAACAGATATGGATCGCATAGTTTCGAAAACAAACAACCATTGGCATGGCTTAACCGTCACATGTGTGCCCTGCAAATAGAAATGTACCTTGTTCCGGCGCTATCAGTCCCTTATTCGATTCCCAGTCTCATGTTCACCGTAACTAGTAGCACTGCCCAACTGCCTGCATCATGTATCACAAAACGCGGTTCTTGAGCGACACCTGCATTTAACGCTTTAGCTGGTTGAAGCCAAGCGCTTTCCGTTGATGCAACGGCCCGTGCTGATATACTCCAGGTACCAATTGATCAATGGTCATGCTTTTTTAACCCTTAGCACGGTATGGCCATTAATGAAACAGAATTCGTGTTACGTCGGTGTGAGTTCATACATTTTGGATTACTCAAAATGGACGGCGCGAAATAGGCTGCACAAGTTTGAGGGCGCCTGGCTAAAAAAGAGAGGATTACGAGCGGCACAACTGTGAACTGCAGGGAATGATCTTGAAAACGGCTATCGCACTTCAAAGCCCCATACAAATGTGGAACGTTCCCTCCGATGACGACAGTAAGACCTCGCGCGCGGGTCGCGCCACTGGGAAGTCGGATAGTCTGTGCAGACTGCACCTGCCTGGCGCCGCCCTGGCGCGGGGTCGAGGGTCATTAGGGGCAGACATATATAATGGCCCTGACTGGCCCCACCGTTAGGTGAGCGAGACCGACACTCTGAGTGCTCTTCTCGTGAGCCCGGCTGCAAGCCGCCATTTGTAGCCGCTGTTGTCTGCGATTGCGACGCGTCCGGAGATGTCGCCGCCTGCGTTGAACACTGCTTTGAAAATGACTGGCTGAGAGGTGTGTTACGGTATGCTTACGATATGTTTTAGTTCACACGATTTAGTTCAACGGCAGGTAACTGTCAAATTGCAGCAGTCGGCTTGTCTTGACGAACGAACCAGTGATTGACAAGAACTGGGATATTCTGCTTTCTGAGTGAACCATTGGGAACCAGAGGCCTGACTCCGGTGTCTGTGAGGAATAATTGTGAACCAGGGCCTGATCTCTGTGAATCAACTACTGGGGACCATGAGCTAGAGCATGGTGGTTGTGAAAGAGCTAGCGTAGGCCAGGAGCAAGGTTCCGATGTTCAGAAAAGGCACTGAAAACCAGGAACTAGGTTCTGGTGTTTGTGAAAAAACAGCGGGAACCGGGAGCATATATATGTGATTGGAAAGGAGCAGGTAAACCGTTTAAAAAAAAACAGCGGTATCCAGGAACCAGAGATGGGGCTCCTGAAAGAACCGGCCGGGACTAGGTTCCGATCGTTCGTTTCCAGTAGCGAGAACTGAAAACTAGGTAGCGACGGTTTGGGAATCCAGCACGTGTCCGTCCATGGCTAGGATTAACGAAAAAACGCGATGTGTGACAGGTGACGCCGCTGTGCGCAGTCTCTGACGGTGGGTATCTCTATCGCTTGCGGCTGGACGCCCTGCACATTGTTCGGTCGGGAAGGTGCAAAGGCTGTCTGCCGCCGGAGTTGCTAGTCGGGTGAGCGTGGGGGGAGGGGGGGGGGGGGCGTCCAGATTAGAGGGCCAAGGGATGTGAGGTGACAAAATACAGTGACTTTGCGGGCGCATCTGAGTGGGCCAGAACGTTCCCGTCCATACCAAACATTAAATCCTAAAAAAGTACTCTAAGATTTGTGTTCTACCTATTTGTTTCGTGTTACTCAACCCGCTTTATCCATGTCGGTTTTTTGTCCCCCAAATTTGTTTTCCAATCTGGCGCATCCCTGTCGACTTTTCGCCCGTCGACGTTTGGACTCTCGATATGTTCAGATGCGACTTTTATCCCTTGCGACCTTATTTCTTTTCGGCTTTTACCCCGGTCATTGTTGTGCCCTTTTAACTTTTTGCCCTTCAGTCTTTTTCCGATTGCGCTTTTTCCCTGTTGCCTTTTTTCCTTTCGACTATTTTCGTTCGAATTTGTTCGCTCAACTTTTTTCATGCCTTGTTTTTTATTCGACATGTCCAGGAACGGTGCACAACTACTGCTGCAAACTATGTTAAAGAACGGTGAACGAGCTGGATGTTAATTGTGATCAGGCGGTCACTACCTCCTGACACCGGCTCACCCCTACTCCCACGTATTCCCCGCCGGCGGCCGGGGCGAGGCTGTTGTGTCTCCCACGTCCGGCTCGGCCGCCACCCCCCAGCCCCGTGCGGGGTCGTCCGGCACCCGGCGGCCGTCACAGCGTGCTGGCCGCCGGCAGGCTCAGCTGGCCTGGCTGCGACGCGCGGCGACGGCGGCCGGCCGCGCTCCGCCCGAGCCCGGCTGCCGACGCGCCGTGCTGGCGCTGCTGGTCAGCACCAGCTCCGCGGCGCCCGTGCGGCAGGCGGCGCTGGACGCCGCGCTGGCCGACGTTCGCGAGCGGCCGGCAGCGGCAGCCGACCTCCTATGCTGCGCCCTGTACCGACTGCGGCAGGAGAGGCAGCCGGAGCTGGCGCTGGCGCTCCTGCGTGCCCTGCCAGAGCTGGCCGTCAACAAGGTGGGCGGCGCGAGCTGCCCCGTCCCGACTGGGGCTGGGCAAGCCCTCCGTATCCGTGAGGCTTCCTTGCGAGCGACGTTGTGTACCGTTTCCCTCGGAGCCGGTGAGCAGCATTCACGAAGCATTTGTGCGTTGTTGTCCTCGCATGTCGACACCGTCGGTGACCGTTGTGACCACGACCGTATCCTTGGAGTTTGCGAGGGTTTTTTGAGCGGTCAGCAGCGACGGCAACAAGTGCGTAATCGGATGCTTAGCTGTACTCTCTGACCGTCGGCTGCCGGGCAGACGCTGGTGCCGCGGATCGTGCGGTTGCTGACCGGCCTGGTGAGCGCGGGCGGGCTGCTGGCGCCCGAGGCGGTCCGGCTGCTGACCGCCCTCTGGCGCCGTGAAGCCCGCTGTCTGCCCTACCTGCTGGACGTGCTGCGTCTGGACGGCCCGCTGGCCGCGCAGCCCAGCCGGCTGCTGCTGGCACAGCTGGCCGCCATCGCCGACATCTGTCAGCATAAGTGGGTGTGCCACCACCCTCCTCTTTCAACCGGGGCTGGTCTGTCCCCGCAGGCTCCTGCCAGCACCGGAAGCCGCGGTAGTTAGGACAAACTTGTGATGGAATTAGAGCATGTATCCGTGTCATTGGTTGACCAGGAAGGCTTTTCACCTATTTTCACTTAACCTTTGACTTAAAGCTTTTCATTTTGGCGTTAATTCCGGAACTACAATACATACCGACGTAACGCCTCAGCGACGTTGGTCTCTTATCGCCAAACCCCAGCTCGAGGCGACTACATGGCTTCCGGTCTCCCGATTGGGGAGGGAGGAAGGAAGGAAGGGGGTGGGGAGTGTCATGATCACCAGGTCATGTCACTTGTTGGGGCGTTATTGTCTCCATTCCGTTGCTTCCCAGTCGCTGCCTTCAGATATTGTCGTCCGTATTCATTGTCTTCCGTTAGAGTAGGCGCTCCCTGGGACTGTGCTTCCCGACGGAACACTGTGCTACTCGGCCGGTACCTCCCGCCGGACTGCGGTGCTCCTCCCGCCCGACTGACCGCCCGTGTCCCGCAGCCCGTCCGCGGGCAAGGACCAGCTGTCCGTGCTCTCGCGCGTGCTCACCGAGCTGGGCGACGCGCCGAGCGCGGCCGCCTGCAGTCTGGCACTGACCGGCATCGCCGCCCTCTGCCGCGCCCAGCTGCTCGACGTGCGCACCACGTGGCGCATCCTGGCGCCCCAGCTGCGCCAGGAGCGGCGGCCGGCCGTGCTGGCGCGGTGAGCTGGCGCTCTGCAGGCCCGGTCTGGCGCGGTGGAACGGCCATGGGAATGGAGTGCAGCAATTTCTAGCTTTGGGCGCCGGCGTTCCATTTTAGCTCCATTTTAGCTCCGTCAGCTCCGTTAGCACGGCGGCGTGCACCTTTCATACACATAATTCTCATTGCCTTTTGTTCGTTTCGCAAGGTGTAAAGTATTTAGTTGTAAAATGACGCGCCGCTTTATGTGCTTTCTGGAACGAACTGTTGACGAGAGCAGGCCGCTGCTGCTGAGGACCAGCGGGCGCTTTTGTGGAGCTCTGGTGGGAGGTACGGGTGTGGCGACCCTGAGCACCGCGCCTCCGCCGCCCTGGCGTGGCAACCCTGATCACCACGCCTCCGCCGCGCTGGTGTGGTGACCCTGAGCACCGCGCCTCCGCCGCGCTGGTGTGGTGACCCTGATCACCGCGCCTCCGCCGCGCTGGTGTGGTGACCCTGAGCACCGCGCCTCCGCCGCGCTGGCGTGGTGACCCTGTGCACCGCGCCTCCTCCGTGCTGGGTGCGCGAGGGAAGTCGGCCGGCTCGCGCCGAGCGTCTTGTGAAGGCCGCCCCTGCTCCCCGCAGCTACATGGAGTTCCTGGGCCTGGTGCCGCAGCTGCACGTGCCCAGCGAGGAGTACGAGGTGTTCACGCGCCAGGTGGCCGCCGTGCTGTGGCAGCGAGTGGCGCAGCCACGGCCCGAGTCGGTGGCACGTGCCGCCCTCCGGTGAGTCGCCATGCGACGGGGCCTTGGCCGCCAGCGCGGCGTGGCGGACATGCGGGAAGCCCTTCAGCCTATTTATGGGCAGCCATTTTAGCGGTTTTGGTCGCAAAAACAGTGATGTGTTCCTTAGTCGATGACGTAAATAGGTGAGGCGCGATGAAAAGTTCCGTGGCTTTCGAGCGTCGTTCCTGTCGCGGCACGGTTGGCTATGGCCGTCTCGTTGTCACTGTGTACGGGCTCCGCTTCCCGGCCGGTCCGTGGGGTCGGAACCGCAGCCGCCGCGCGCCGATCTGCCCTCACGCTGCTTCGTTCGCTCCAGCGCGCTGGCCGAGTTCAAGCCGGGCACCTTCCAGCTGAAGATGCTGCCGGCCGCCGCCAGGCAGGGCCTGGTCGTGCCGGCGAAGCTGATCGCGACGCCGGCAGACGCCGCTAAGAGGCCGGAGGACCTGCTGAACTACGTGCCTGGTACGTGTCGCGCGGCCAGGACGTCGCTGCTGCGCTCACCACCGCCGCACGACATGGGGTTGCACGGTGCCCTTCACCTGTCGCGTCGCTGACTAGATATGATCCGTGTGTTGACGCTGCGCCAGTGGGTGATCGGAGGGGAGGCCCGCTCGCTACTACGTGCCTGGTACGTGTCGCGCGGCCAGGACGTCGCTGCTGCGCTCACCACCGCCGCACGACATGGGGTTGCACGGTGCCCTTCACCTGTCGCGTCGCTGACTAGATATGATCCGTGTGTTGACGCTGCGCCAGTGGGTGATCGGAGGGGAGGCCCGCTCGCTCCCGCTCGCTCCCGCTCGGGCTGACGGGCGGCGCCGCTCCAGGCGAGTGCTTCACGCTGCTGCTGTCCGTCCTGCCGCCGCGCCTGCTGTCTGAGTACGGGCTGACGCTGACCGCCCTGGTCCGCCGCGAGGTGCAGCTGATCGGCCGAGGCGTCTACTTCACCGCGAAGGAGGTAAGTGGGCTGGCAGCCCCGGCTCCGGCCGCGAGGTCGGCGGCTCTGGCCCCGGCTCCGGCGCGTGTTAGCCCTATTGTTCGAGGCGTGATCTGACCCAGGTGTTTGTTCGCTGGCGCCGTTTTATCCCTCCACTTTTTCTAATTTAACGGTCGGTGTTAACACTAACAGAGCGATTGGTGTGCCCACGTTCGTTCAGTATATACTCAGCTGGTGATGTGTGGAGCGGAGGCCGGTGCGTGGTAGTATGTATGGCCAGGCGCGTTGACCTGACCGGACTGGGCCGGGCCGCACGCCAGCGTTCGCGCCGAGAGGGCGGCGAGCCTGCTTCCCTCTCCTACCTGGAGCCATCGAGCATCCTGCGCGCGCTGGTGGTTCGTCTCCAGCAGACAGCAGGTGCGTCCCCCGACCGGAGCAGCCGAGCGTCTCGTAGTGCGCCGGGGCGCGTTCTCTTGCTCAGCGGCTGAGATATGTTTGTCAACATGCTCCCGCAGTGATATCATGTGATGGTCCCGCAGTAACGATAAGAACATGCTCCCGCAGTGCTACCATCACATGTTTTCGGAAGTTACGTATTTGGAAATAGCCACGGTTTCACAATGTATCGAATTTGCACTTCTCTTGCATATTTAAGTGTGGTTCATAGGCGACGTAATGTCTCCGGCTCGTGCGCGCGCTTCTGCTGGGACTCACCGAGCACTGCGCGCGGATTTTTGGTGCCCGTATACATGTGTGACGGAACCCTCCGCGTTGGAATACGGCTGAACAGAGCGGTAGTGGCGCAGGCTGATCGGGAAACGGGCTGGTGGGCGCGTGACGCCAATTTACAGAGCTAACGCTGCTACCTTCCCACAGACTCTGGCGCGCTGGCAGCGGGGAAGCGCACGGTGGCGGAGACGGCCGCCTGCCTGCAACCGCTGGCCGCCGACCTGGGGCAGGCGCCGCCGCCGCTCTCGCTGGGCCCGCTGCTGGAGGGCCTGCTGCCGCTCGGTACGGCGCGATGTTGGCAGCCGGCCGTTCGGGCGAGCCTGGCCGACGAGCCTGGCGGCGGGGCCGGCGGACCGGCCAGCGGATCACCCCCGGACCGGCCGAACGGGCGGCGGCCGGCCGGGCAGCCCGGCAGCCCGCCGCCCGCTCGTGCGGCGGCGGTGTTGGTCCGGTGTTGCTATTCGACCTTGTTCCGGTTTCCCTCCTTTGTGGACTGGTTTTTGTCAGTGTTCTGTCTACGTGTCCTACCCTCGCGTCTCCATTGCCTTTCCATTCCCCCTACGTGTGCTGTTCACACGCAGGGAGAACGTGTGACAGCACATGCTGTGCTGTCACTTAGGCTTTCCGTTGTCTGTCCCCGCGTCGCCGCAGTCTGTCTGCCATGTTTGGCGTTAGCGTGATTTTCGCGTCGTCCCCGTTTGCCGGGCTGCTCCCGTGTTCCGGCTGTTTGTGTCTCCCATGTCTGCCTGCGGCTTGTGTGGTGTCGCTGCCGGACGTCAGTGACGGCGGCGGCTCCAGCCTCGCTGATGCGGTTCGTCGCGCCCGCAGGCGGCGAGGTGGCGGAGCTGTGCGTCAAGGCCCTGGCTCGGCACTGCTGCAGCCACGGCTCGGCGGCGGCGCTGCTGAAGCGCCTGATGGCCGTCCCGCCGCCCGACGACGCCTCGGTCAGTCACCCCCGCTGCCCAGACTGGGCGCGGCCACCTCTGCTGGTGCTCCAGCTGCGCCCCGTGGCGGCCGGAGTGTCACGCAGGCAGCGCCTCAGCTGTGTCCTTATGAAGCGTCGGGTAGCTGATTGGAAGCCCCATGCTGTCCCCGTCCCCCCCCCCCCCCAAGGTGTCTGGTGCTTCGCGTAAGCGTCTCGCAGTGACTGATACTGCATTGACATTCTGCGCTCACTAAGTTTCAGAACGGTCCACACTCCATCTGAAATCACATGTCCACATCACGATACACATCATCACGTATCACATCACGATTCAAATAATCACATATCAAACCATGATTCACATCATCACACATCACATCATATGATTCACATCATCACACGCCACATCAAGATTTTCGCAGCATTTGGTATTCTGTGCCAGCTCTTGCAAAACTTAAAATGCACTGCCTCGCGTGAACCCCACGCTGGCTGCAACTAGGTGACCGGGCCTTCATCCGGATCCCGGGGGGGGGGGGGGGGGGGGGGGGGCGGGGGCTCCGGCAAACCATTCGCCGCCTGATTGGGAGCTCATGTCTTCGTCTGCATAACGTCCAAGGCTCCATTTGGATATCGTGCTGGCTGGTGCAAATCGTCCGGACTTCGCATGACTCCGTTGGGTGTGGGCTATAGACGACCCATGGCGCCCAGTTGAGTGTCCTAGCGATGCACCCTACATCTCGACGCACGGGTCATCTCGTGTGAGGTGGACTCGTGAAACTCGGGGTGACCGGTGACGGTGGTATGGTTGTGGCTGCGAAGTCGTGAGTTCAAACGGTACGACAGCGGGCGTTTTGGCCTCTGCGTCGCCATGCCATTGCCCAGTGGCGACGCTAGCGACCGTTACATGCGTCGTTCAGAAATCGCTTGTGGCGTGCAACGAGGCGTTAATTTGAGTGGCAACGCCATGGCATCCAAGTGGTTCACTCAGTAAGCTGTCCTGATGTTATCAGCTGTATGTCATGATCATGTCAAGGTCACCGGCGCAAAGGTTGTCAGCCTGGATTCTCGCCAGCATTGCGTTCGGCTTTGTTGTTTTATTCGTGGCAGCCTACACACACAAACACACACACCGACAGCTGCTGTCTATTTTGCTGCGTGTAACGTGACAAAAACTTGACTGCAGCTCCCTTCTTTCAGCCGGAGGTGCTAAACACACTGTTTGACCACCTGGGCGTGATTGGTCGCGGCCTGCCGCCTCCAGTCATGCTGCCCTTCATTCAGCACCATCTGTCGGCCGCGCTTGAGACTACCACTTCGGCCCGCCGTGCGCTGGCTGCCATACGGGCGGCGCTAAGGGACGAAAGGCTGCACGAAGCTAACCGGACCACCATAGGCAACGTCATCGAGACATTGCTTGAGGAAGTCAGCCCGGACCAGGTGAATCATTGCTTGAGGAAGTCAGCCCAGACCAGGTGAATCATTGCTTGAGGAAGTCAGCCCGGACCAGGTGAATCATTGCTTGGGGAAGTCAGCCCAGACCAGGTGGATGTCTTTAGTGCCGCCAATATCGCTCGCGCTTCTCCACCACCGCTGTCTGGTGTTTAAATCTGTTATCTCTACGTATATTCAGCTCGCTGTTTTGCTCCGGTAGTAGAGCTAGAGCAATGTGCAGTGTACCATGCACTCATGGTGACAAGCGTCGTTCATGATTGTATGTCTGACCTGTCTACTATTTTATCACCTTATAGCAATGACGTTCGGGCACGTGGCCAATGAGAGGACCGAAGGGACAGTGCCATCCCCTTACCCCCGAAGCATGGGACTTACGCCAGATACCGAACGGTATCACAAGACTTTTGGTCCGAGTTCGCAGAAGTTGCGAAAACAAAAATTGGCTCTTGCCACCCCTTCTGGCAAAAGTGTTGGCTGCCTCCCTGATTATTTCAGGGTTGAAATCGCCTGCTAAAACCATGCCATTGTCGCAGGACATTGCAGCATCCTATAAAATGTTGCACCGACAAATATTTCTCTAGAATAGTGCTGTTGCTGATCACGTGCAGTTGCAGCAATTCTCAATAGGTCTATAGGTACGCACTGGGCACATTATATACAACGTGCGTCATGGTCGTTAATTTACGTCCAGGATGGATCGGAAGCTCGAGTCGTTTTGTCGTGATTTGACGAGTGATCGGTGCGCTCAAGAATCCTAATACATGTTTTGGTTTGTTCTGCAGACTGAGATATTCGCCGCCTTTTTGGATTGCATCTCAGAATTGCCCACCTCTAACCTGGAGCGCCTCAGCTCTCCGTCGCTCTGGTGGACGGTGGAGAAGGCCAAGCTTGTCGTGGCGGCCGAGGTGCGGAGCCACATGTCTTCCCTGGGCGACGGTGACCGGCCCATGGTGTGGATGAACGAAATCATCGACGTGGCGGGCAGCACTGGGTGAGTGTAATTGCGGCTGCGGACGGCACTGGATGAGTGAAATTGCGGCTGGGGGCGGCACTGGATGAGTGAAGTCTGTAGATGAGTCTGTGGACTGGAGCAAGTGTAGCTGGCTGTAGCTGGGGCGCTCAACTCTGCCATTACGCTGATAGCTATTTATGCCTCCGTTTATCGCTGGGCGCCTTGTGCAAATCAATCGTGGAATCCAAAGAGAGGAATGTTTAACGATTCACTGACCAATCTGATACAAAATCTGTAGATAAACCCCATTTATCTTCCCACTTTTCATTGTCACCACTTTGGCAAGGGGTTGTTCACGTTGGCCCATCTTCGACCAGCCAACGCCGCACGGCTGCAGACGTAACGTGTCTGCCGTGTCGACGGACTGGGACCGGCCGTGTGTCGACGGATTGGGACCGGCCGTGTGTGATGACGTGTCTACCGTGTCAACGGACTGGGACCCGCCGTGTGTGACGACGTGTCTGCAGTATCCACAGACTGGGGCCAGGCGTGTGTGATGACGTGTCTGCCGTATCCACAGACTGGGGCCAGGCGTGTGTGATGGTGTGTCTGCCGTATCGACAGACGGGCCAGGTGTGCGTGATGACGTGTCTGTCGTATCGACAGACTGGGACCGGCCGTGCGTGATGACGTGTCTGTCGTATCGACAGACTGGGACCGGCCGTGTGTGATGACGTGTCTGTCGTATCGACAGACTGGGACCGGCCGTGTGTGATGACGTGTCTGCTGTATCGACAGACTAGGACCGGCCATGTGTGCTGACGTGTCTGCCGTGTGTGATGACGTGTCCGCCGTATCGACAGACTGGGACCAGCCGTGCACGGCGCCGTGTGCCGCGCCCTGGCCGCTGTCAGCGGCCATGCCTCCAACCCCGACTGGCTGGTCGAGCTGATGGGCCAAATGCGCGCCGTTCAAACCGGCAAGGCGACGTCGGACGCGCCGGCCGACCAGGTCTGTCGCCGGAGCCGTGGATGGCGCCCCGCCCCGCGCCGGTCCTCGGCCGCCGTCCGCGCGGCAAGTCTGGATGTCCGCCAGGACGAGTGGATCTCGTCGTGCTGACGGCGTTGATGCCCGGTCTCAGACATTGCTTTCGTACCGCTTGGCACATTTGTTTGTCGTGGGTGAATGTCGTATTGTGGTGTTTGTTTCGCCTTCCATTGCTGGCATCGAGGTTTGCCCTGGTCCTCAGCGAGCCTGGCTGGCGCCCGCGCAGGTTAGTGCTGTGCTGGCTCGGTCGTGACGCTGACCCCGGGTCGCGCCGCCAGGTGCTGGCCTGGTTGGCGGACGTGCTGGTGAGCGCACTGCTGCTGTGGTCGCCGCTGGCGCTGGTCGCTGGTCCGGTGCCGCCGGCCGACGCCCGGGCGCAGTGGGACCGACTGCTGCCGGCTGCAGCGCGGCTGCTGCTGGAGCTGCCGCCGTGGAAGCCTCTGCGAGCGCAGGTCGGTGGCCAGTCTCATCTGCCGCGAACCGGCTGTACCCGGCAGCTGCGCTCGTGCTGTCGAGCCGGCAGTACCCACGCCTGGAGGTCGAGAGGCGTGGCAGATGTGTGTAGTCTGGCGCGGGCTCGGTGTCGTAGCGAGGGCTGTTAGTCGTGGGCAGTTGCGTCGGTCTCGAACCACGCCATGGGAGGTTCGCGATCGCGAACCATATCGCGAGGCTCAGTATGAACGTCAAAATATGTTGCTTTTTCTCCGGCAACACGGGTGCCTTCAGGCCCGTTCACATTTTGCAGACCGGCTGCACAATTTGCTGCAGTTATAATTGCCCTCGTAGTTTTTCTGTTACGTTTCCTGCGATGTGTGGGGTCTTCATCCTCTTGTGCCCCATTTTTCTAGCGCTTACATGTTTTGCTACCGCACTCCACGTGAGCTCGCCGGTTCCTACCCCCTTGGTCTGGTCCCGTGCTGTCTGCTACCCAGTCTCAGTCTGATTCCGAGCACCGTCTGGACCTTGACCTCGACCCGTGTTCCGGCCTCTGTCTGTCTGGGCGGATGTACGGCTGCCTGCTGTGCCGTAAGAGATATCTGACCTCTGCATAACCTCTGTCTGCCTGGGCAGATATGCGGCTGGCTGCAACGTCTGCAGGAGGACACAGTCCTCGCCGATCGACTGCGCCTGCCGCTGCTGCTGTCGGTCCTGCAGCCGGCGGAGTGACGCGCTGGCCGGCTGGTCGAGTGCTGGTCCGCCGCCGCCGCCGCCGCCGCCGCCGCCGCCTCCGCCGCCGCCGCCGCCGTCGCCGCCGCCTCCGCCGCCGCCTCCGCCGCCGCCGCTCCCGCCCCCGCCTCCGCACCTGCTCCCGCCACAGTCCTCGTCCTCCCCTCTTCCCCCGCCGCCGCCGCCGCCGACTCTATCCCACCGCCCACCTCCACCCCGCCCCCGCCCCCGCCCCCGGCCCCACCCCTTCCTCCCGCCACGGTCCTCGCCCCCCCCCCTTTTCCCCCGTCGTCGCCGCCACCTGTCGCGAGCTGGTCGTCCGACGCGCCCCACCTGTGGCCGCTGATGGGGGCCGACAGGAAATATGAAGACATGTATGAATACATGAATACGCTGTGATATGCAGTTGTGTTGTCTGTGTCCGCGATAGTCAGGCGGGGCTGAAGAATGAGGCGGGAGAAGAGCAGCTGATGAAGAAACCCCCGGCTGCAACGTTGAATTGGATAGTCGTTGGGATGACCATAAACGACTTTGACAATTTGATCATCGTATGGAACGAAATAACTGAAAGGCGTGAAAGAAGCGCTTGCACGATGCGCTTTCACCCAGTAGCCACTCATTCGGTGGCAGCACTGCCCCCGTGACGTCCCCGTAATACTTAAAAATGCTTGAAGGCGTCCCCTGGTCGTCGCGTCGTATTTCTCTTTGGTGTTCGGGTCTAGGACTGCGTGGACCCCAACGCTGATCTCGCACCGGAGGATGTTGCATCAGCTTTGCATGGGTTGGCAGTGTGAATGGAAAGCCTGCGTTTTCGAGCCCGTTTCGAGTAACGGGCAGGTTGAGTGATCTTCATTATGATCTTCATGAGCAGGAGGTACCGACTTAATGATGTACTGCTAAAAACAGCCATATTGACGGTACTCAATATTTCGACTTGTTCTCATCCTCAAGACACAAGGTCTCGTTTGGCTCACGGTGCGTGGTTCACAGATCGTCCAGAAACGCACTTTGGATGCCCAATTAAATTTTATGACCGGTGTTTAAAGCTTCACTATTCTTCACAGGTCACGACTGCGCGGTTTAGCAATGCGAATCGTAATTAAAGCACGCAAGAAGACCGGGGACAAAACAAGCCCACAGAAAGACTTGGCATCTCAATTCAGCTTCCTGATGGTGTCCAGTATCCAGTTGGTGAAGTATTCCACCTTGGTGTAGACGCCCGGCTCCTCCCCGCAGCCCTTAAGATGGCCGTGGGAAACGACGCCGTACACGGCGAAGCGTTCGGTGAAGTCCTGCTCTGTAAGCCAGCGGCACGTCGTGTGACTGATAAGCCTGAACTCCACGCTGGCACACGCTGGTTTGCAGAGCGCATACACTGTGGTCCACATACTTGGTTAAGATGAGAGTCCTCTCGGCCAGAATATGGGCCAGTTTGGGGTTGTGTGATGAATGGGAATGGACAGCAGCGCGACGAGACTGCGTGCATCTAGTAGTCCCACGTAACCGAGACTTACCCCGCACAAGGGCCTCTGTCCGGGCTCTGTGCGGGTACTCTAGCGGACCTCCCGCCAGGGCGAAGAAACCATCAAGCCCACCTATGGCCGGTGCATATTGCTTCTCCGCATTAACAGGCTTTGCAAACGTTCAGAATGAGGCGGAAAGTTAGGAAGTGGGACTAAGTATGTGGTGCATTTTTAGCCCCGAGGATTATGCATAGACGCGGGCATTTCCGCATTGCGTTACACGTATTTTTCGCCGTGGCGTAACAAGAAAATGCCGTTTATGTCAGAGCAAATGACATGCCTTTAGAAAGCTGCCGGACAAGCTCCCTAACCCCACACACATTTTTGCTAGGAAACCAACCAACGGTCAACGCCTAGTCAGCGCAAAACGAGTCTTTAACATCGGGCAGCTGACCTACCATTTTGTGGCGATTTGTCCAAGCGCTGCAACCAACAGACGGGTGGACCGCCCCGTCCCTGACTTACCGGAGATGGGTAGCTCGCAGGTGGGCGGGCCGCCCCCGTCCCTGATCTACCGGAGATGGGTAGCTCGCAGGTGAGCGGGCCGCCCCCGTCCCTGACTTACCGGAGATGGGTAGTTCGCAGGCGAGCGGGCCGCCCCCGTCTCTGACTTACCGGAGATGGGTAGTTCGCAGGTGGGCGGGCCGCCCCGTCCCTGATTTACCGGAGATGGGTAGTTCGCAGGCGAGCGGGCCGCCCCCGTCCCTGACTTACCGGAGATCGGTAGCTCGCAGGTGAGCGGGCCGCCCCCGTCCCTGACTTACCGGAGATGGGTAGTTCGCAGGCGAGCGGCCCGCCCCCGTCTCTGACTTACCGGAGATGGGTAGCTCTCAGGTGAGCGGGCCGCCCCCGTCCCTGATCTACCGGAGATGGGTAGCTCGCAGGTGAGCGGGCCGCCCCCGTCCCTGACTTACCGGAGATCGGTAGTTCGCAGGCGAGCGGGCCGCCCCCGTCCCTGACTTACCGGAGATGGGTAGCTCGCAGGTGAGCGGGCCGCCCCCGTCCCTGACTTACCGGAGATGGATAGCTCGCAGGCGAGCGGGCCGCCCCAGTCCCTAACTTATCGGAGATGGGTAGCTCGCAGGTGAGCGGGCCGCCCCCATCCCTGACTTACCGGAGATGGGTAGCTCGCAGGTGAGCGGGCCGCCGGAGTCGCCCTGGCAAGCGTCGGCCGGCATGGAGGGGTCGAGGTTTCCGGCGCAGAACATGATGTCTGGGTTGAAGCTTGCGCCGTACACCTCTGGTGCCAGACAGTACTCGTTGCTGACGAGCGGTGTACTTACTCCACGCAGCAACACTGAGGAGACTGTCTCCCTTTCCTCGGTCTTGCCTGCCGGGCGGTGGGCGGTGTTAGCAGGCGGCTGTGAGGCCAGGCGGCGAACAGTATTAGTTGGCCATTGTGAGACCAGACGGCGAACAGTGTTAGCAGGCCGTTGTGAGACCAGCCGCGGGGTGACAACCAAGAGACAACAGGCACCATTAGACTCAGCACGGTCCAGAATGCTCGCTAATGTCGGGGGGCAACGGTGTGCCACTGAGACGACAAGGACAAGCCACTAAAAGAAAAATAAAAAAGTTTAAGCAAAACATAACGTTTTGAATCGGCGGACTGTTGATTGGGTTAAAGCGAACTTGCCCCCACATCCCTCAAACAATCCGGCCAACGATTGTTTGAATGCCCCCGACACCAGCCCATGCGAGACGAGCCGGGCCCTCTCGACGGCAGTCCGTGAGGGACGCACGCCGCCGCCAGGTCAGCTGAGCGGCCGTGCTCACCCCAGCCGGAGACGTTGCAGCGGGCGTACAGGTCACTCTCGAACAGGCCGGGCAGCGGCAGACAGGCCGGCTGCACGACGTTGTTGAACTCGATGGCCTTGCTGAGCTTCACCAGCATCAGATCGTTCCAGTACTGGGTTTTGCCCAGGGGTCCAGGGCCTGTGAGTGGGGCGCGGTGGCACGGGGACAGATTACGCTGCCCGGGGCCTTCGGTTACGCCTCGGAGGCTGATTACGCCTCGACCAAGCCACTTACCGGCGAGGCGTCATAGCCCGGAGGTCTCTGCCGGTGTGTAGCCAACGCGAGGCACGCTCGGGCAGACCCCGCCACCGCACGCCGCTATTCCACATTCACGGGCACCCCTCTGACGCGAAGGCTCAAACTACAGCTTTCGGTCTGTTTCTAGCAACAATACGCTTTTGAAACGGCGCGTGTCTGAATTAGTTTGGAAAAAACACTGGACTTAATAACCACGGCACATATCACTACCTGCTAAAGACTGGCAAATAACACTAGCTCGAGCGCTCGGTTGCCACGCGTGTGACTGGGCTGATAGGTTTTCGGTCCAGCATTTTAACCTAAGAAAAAAATCGTTTTCAATTTAGTTGCGAACTGAGTCCCATGGACTTGACTTCAAAATGTTACCCAGACGGCACAGACAGCAGACTTTTCACGCAGGTTCGCTGGGCACATTGCTACACCACTCAGCAGGTGAACTCTACGCTGCCTTGTGCCCACACCAGTCAGCGTCTGATGACGAATTTGCAAATGGTCTTTGTTAAGTGCACGCTGGCCAGCTCAATAAAGCTCTGATTAGGACACCCCTGTCAGCAGAGGGCCCTGGCCGGCGGCCATGCTGGCGCGGGTCTCCGAGCAGTCGCCGCGACCAGGAAGCCCCATTGGTATTGCTACTCAGATGCAGTGCAGATCACCATGCCTTGAGATTTATCGGAAACTACCCGCTGCATTCCCACATTTTTCTCATGCGTCATAGCAAATGAAATACCTTTGCCGTAGAACTGATGAAATTGGAAGTTCTCTGCAATGAATTCTTGTTTTGATGAGCCCCTTACGTCCAAATTATTCTCTCCAACTGTGACCTGAAATGATCATGCCCACATGTAATCAATAACCTAATCAAAATGCAGAACAACATAACGAAAACCAGTCATCAGTCGCCTGCTCGCTGTACTCAGGATCGGGGTCACCCCTCGACCTCGACCTCGCTGGAAGTGGCATTACCTGTCCTGTTCTGTTGGACTCGTGCGTGCGCGTGTGAGGAAGATGAACCTATGGAAGTGAGCAAGCCTGCAGCTGGCTTCGTCTGTACCATCCGCATATTTCAAACGGTGAGAGCGGACCTTGGCGGTGGCGAAAACAGCCAGTATGCTAGGGATCTCCAGACAGAAATGCCTCTAAAAGTGATTGTCGATACCGCTGCAATCACGTCCGTTTGACTTGAGATCGAGATTCTCATGTTTCCCGTGGTGTTCCGCAACTGGCGATTTCTGCGAGGCGAAGTCAAGGGCGGGTTCAGGGGGGGGGGGGGGGGGTAAGGCAACCGGCTATGCCTCTCCAAAATGGTCAGTCTTCCAAGGCATGACATCTCTAGTGTCTAGACTTCAAAGAAAGCAAAGTAGCTTTTACCTATGGGAGTTTGTTTTGAAATCTTATTCTAAAAGGATGCGAATTATGTTCAGTTACAAAAAATAAGGAATGCATATTATGTTTTGCTCAGAAGTCGGCGTTGGTCCCTTAACGCGCGCTGGTTTGGGGTCAATCTGAGTCACAAGTTTTTCCGAATAGTTTCCCAACTGCGAGGCGCAGCCGCGTCAAAGTTTGCACAACTGTAGACAACGGAATTCCGGATCGTTTGGTTAAAAATTTAGACTTTCTTGTAAGATCGCTGACCTATGGCAGGTCAAAGTCACGACATGGATTCAGCAAGGAAAGCTTCTAGGGAATCGTTAATCTTATGCAACAACGGAGTGCTAGACGAAGTCATACATTTCTGAGAAAGCTTCTTAGGCAACAGAACAATTAAATGTACAAAATCCATTGACCTAGTGTCGGGCATGACGGTCAGGTCGAGCCCAAAGCCAGCCTGTATTTTTTCTCTAGAGCCTGCTCTATAAGGTAGTTTCTGGTGCTCATTTTTAGTTTTACCGATAAAAGGAACCACATTAAGCATCTTCCATTGATTTTTTAAACGCCAGAATAGGTCACTGATCTAAAATGGCCCATGTCGGCATTTCATTTTCAGGAACATACTGCCTGCGCAATCCTTGACGCTTATTCAAATGTTTAAATCAAAGCATTTTACACCATTTGGTCACCATGACCATCTTATGATTAGACAGGGCCACTGACCGTAAACGAACACCAGTTACCTGCTGCTTAGAACAGGTATCTGGGCACACGATGATTGCATCGAAAGGCATGGAAACACTTTGGACACAAATCCGGAGATTAACCTTGTTTTCGCCTTATATTACCCGAAAATCATGAGCTATGAACCTCACATCTGGTCACACGTTGGTTCACGTACACGTTTCCACACCCCGTAAATGTGGCGCCTCTGACCTGATCAGGTTCTGAGACCTGAGGGGGTCAAACTGACGCACACCCGAGCAAATCAAAGGTATTAAACAGCCACCCGAGCGCGTGTTAAGATGGCGTTTTGCGTCGCCCTGGGACGAAGTACGCCAGCCCCTACATCTACAATAATGTGGCCGCAGACACTGCTTAACCCGGGAGCGTAGTGTCCTCTTCATTTGGTAAAAACGTCCAAGCCCCAACTTTGAGAAGAAGGCGAGGGCGGGCGCATACAGTAGCCCTCGATCGCATGTGCGCCATTTTACTAAGTTTATGGCATGTGTTCGTGACTTAGTGTGGACAGCTACAAATTAAAAAGAAACGCATAAAAGCTAACTCTGAACTTGTGGCTTACATTCCATTACATCCATGTCAAACAAATTTGGCGTTGTGCAATCGTATGAACAGCGCAGTTCGCTTACTCAGAGACTCTTTAAGTCGGCATTACAACAAATCGACCTTTCCTTCCCTCCAGCCGTCTGAGTAATGCTCTGAACGCTGCGATGATAGCGGCCTACACCTACATCACCTGAAGTTCGTGACAATCTAGATGTCGTCGAGAAGGTTGCAGGTCACCGAGGACGCAAGCACATGTGTTCAAAGGCAATGGCGTTACATCGTCAGAATTTGTCTCAACGTCAAACACGAGGTTCGTTTGTTCTTCATCAGAATGTCACCCACGGGCGCTAGGTGTCCACTGTCGCAGCAGCCAACGCCGCTCGGTCACACGGAAACTCAACCCCGGCCATGGGCGGCTTAGACCTTGGTGTTCTTGTTTCTAGGATTTTGGGCATGCAGGCTCAAAACTGTGTGACGTCATATACCTCACATGATGCTCCCGAGCAAGGATGGACGCTTCGTTCGTGCTGTTTTTTCACATTTGACCTATTTGCGATGCGCCCTATTGAGTACTAAGGGAACTCCTTTCCTTTTTCGGGCAAGGGACCCAGTGTTTAGCCTTACTAGGGGGCACATTATATTTTTCGGTCAGGAGATTCAGGGTCAATTGTTTACAGTGTGGAGAACCTACCGGCTGTCATGCCGTTGACACAAGGGCGGGATCCCCTGATCCATACCGAAACTCCTGGAGAGATACATCATACATGGGCAGGGGTGTCAGCTTTTGCAAATTATTGGGGGGCCGAACCGAGGGCCCGACAACCTGGCCCCCCTCCCCCCACCCATGTTTTTCTCACTGGACTTGGCCCACTTTATTTTGATTAAAGCAATATGCGCTTTTATTCCTTGTATAATTTATAAAAGTATTTAATGTAAGGTGTATGGAAGTCATGCAGGGCTGGATCCAGGGAGCTTTGTTCTTTGTTGTTCATTGGAGTTTTCGGGCGCGTCGACTGCAGTGGTCATTTTGCGCCCATGGATCCAGGGAGCAGGCACTGGACGTACGCGTCTCTTTTGATCGGCACGTGAGGGCGCCCATTTAGAGGCCACCTTAGGGCGCCGATGGTACTCTTCTATGGCGGTCATGGGAGGCAACACGCATTTTGGTTGTGGGAAAGGGAGACGAGGTTAGCCATGCAGGCCTTAGGCCTTAGCCTTAGCCACTTAGGCCATCCCCATATTCCAGAGGTTTTCACTTTAATCTCACAAACCATTGTGTATCTAAAGCGGTAGGCATGTAAAGTCTATCGTCTCGTTTATCCACTCAGCTGTTGCGATTTGTATCTTGTGGTGAGAGCATCCATGACTTTTTGTTAAGAGAGTGATGCAAAACACAACTACGCAGAAAGATCAAAGAAGACAGTCTTTGTGTTATGATCATCACTCACGCTTTTGGAGCATTCCAGCGAAAAACATTGTGGGTGGAGGACAAGCCAATATTGGGGGGGGGGGGGCAGCTCAATATTAGGGAGGGGGGGGGAGGGCCAAGGCCCTCACAAACGAATACAAATTGTCACCGGTGTACATAGGTCGCCTACCCGACGCCGCAGGCCCACTGGCCCTGGCATTTACCTCCAGATGGACGCAGGGTCCGATTGATGCGAACGACCGCTTATGGTTGTAGATGTCCAACAATTGACAGGAGAGACCACAGTTAGGCATGACGGGCCACTGGCTGAAATGGAATGGAGAGCCCTCCGTTCGGTTCCGGGGCCTCGCCTGGCTCTATCAAGCACTGTTGGCGTCTGACCAACGAAGAAGCCCTCGTTGCTTCAGGGGCCCAGGCCAATGCAAATCACGGTTTCCAACTTTGTCCCTGTTTGGGAAATGGGTCTCCAGGGCTCAGACCGACACGGAACCGACTGTTCGGTGTCAGCAGTTTTTGACCGAAGTAGAGACCCACAATGTCTCAGGCTGTCCCCAATCGGTGCAAGAGGCCCTCTAACTGATATTTGAAGGCCCGGCCCTGTCCCCATGCCCTCCAATCGGGCACTTGATCATCGGCCCCGAGGCTCGTAGCAAAACAACGCACTTTGCTACGGTCAATATAACTTGACACGTCGCTGACTAACGCCAACGCACTGCAACCATAGCACAAAACTAGACCATAGTCAACAATAGAGGAGAGCCACGTAGTCAAAAGCATGCAGCGTGCGACAAAAACAACAGACAAACTTAAGCAAGCACGAAACGGCCGCGGAGCTTTAAAAGTGTGACCTACTCAGAAAGGTGCACTTAACGAGACATGATATCACAAATTTCATTTTCTTTTGTCTTTTTACTTGCGAAACTTTTCGAAGAAGCCCTTTTTAAATTTCAATCACTTTCCAACTTTTGTTTGTAATGTTTTACATGTTCTTGGGCTCCAAAAGGTTAGGTAGGGGGGAACTCGCCGTTGGTTGGCAAGATTGAACATGGAGGGGAGGGGGAGACGGAACAGTGGCCCAAGCAAAAGAATACAAATCGACATCCGTGCGCCCACGAATTCGAAACCCGGAAGAAAGCATCAACGGCTGCAGCGGTTGCCAACAAGTTGGCAGTTTTTCTGAAAATGTCTCCATGCGGTATTTCCACAGACATGCCCAGGCAGACCATTTTGGAAGTCGTCAAAAAATTCAATTTGACCATTTGAGATACGCACACCAACCGGCTACCCAGCAGGGGATGGCCCTCTATGTGAGTATGACTCATCGCACCCGTTGGCGCAGCCAAGTGAGGGTGGGAGAGGGGGAGGGGCTCAATGGACTTCACGCTGCCTCCCGGGTCTGAGTTCGGCTTATCACCACGACAATACTGAATGTAATTCGGGGATCTGGTAATCATATTGTTCCTCACAAATGCACTTAATAACTTAATGCTCAGCTTTCTGATCCAACGAAATGGCGGTCGCCAGCTGGCTCCCTTCCCAAGGCACTGAATAAAAGCGGGCTGGGACAGCCACATTGGCTCTCTTAAAACTGTATGCATCAAGTCTTATGCGTTGTCAATTACGTTTGGCATTACGTCACATCAAGTGAGAGAAATAAGTCAGTTTACAGATGAGATCGACCAGGGCTATCTGGTGGTTTCCAGATTATCTTTTGGACAATCAGCTCCAGAAACACGCTTATATGTATATACAATTATGTATATGTACATATATATATATATATGTATATATATATATATATATATATATATATATATATATATATATATATAGTGTGGTGTGGGCTCTCACTGATCTCACACTAGGACGTCGATTATGGTCCGCCGGGTTTTTGGAAGCACTGCATAAAATATATAAGATAACACTAGATGCATCAGATTCCACCACCCTCCACGCATCTCAGAGAGGGACTTCCTCGTCCCCCTGACTCCCAGGCACGTACCGTTGTTTCTGCAATCCCCACAGCTCTTAGGCAGTGAGCCGCAGTTAGCACGTGCCGGCTGGTGATGACGACTCCGCCGCACTGGTGCTTGGCACTGCCGCCCTCGAAGACCAGGATGCGAGCCTGCGGCGAGAGATGTCAGTGCGTGGGACGTCGCCGTCCCCGGTGTCCACCAAGCACGGCGCCAACGCCATCTGTCACCGTTCCCGGCGTCCACCGAACACGCACGCGCCAGCGCCATCCGTGGCCGTCCCCGGTGTCCACCGAGCGGGGCGCCAGCGCCATCCATCGCCGTCCCCGGTGTCCACCAAGCATGGCACCAGCGCCATCCATCGCCGTCGCCGGTGTTCACCGAGCACGGCACCAGCCCCATCCGTCGCCGTCGCCGGTGTCCAAAGAGCAAGGCGCCAGCGCCATCCGTCGCCGTCGCCGGTGTTCACCGAGCAAGGCGCCAGCGCTATCCGTCGCCGTCCTCGGTGTCCACCGAGCAAGCGCCAGCGCCATCGCGCGTCCCGCTGGCGCCGCGGCCACGGGGCCGTCGCTCACCTGCCAGGGATACTGGCCGGGGGTGGCCGGCTCGCCGCCGGTGACGAACGGCACCAGGCCGGGTATGCCGGCCAGAGGTCGGCGGCCACAGTCCACCGGCAGCGAGTCCACCTGGCCGTTGGCGATCAGCGCAGTGGAACCGAGCTCGGACGTGAACAGCCTCTGGACGGACTCGCCCGCGGCGCGGCTGACCGAGTCCTCTGGCGATGGTCCGAGACGTCCTGCGGATGGGGTCCGGGCCAACTGCCGATGATAACGTTCGCGACGCTTCGAGGCGGCTCAAGGCTCATCGTGAAGGGATAACACCGCTGCGAGTTTGAATATCTGGCTTCTGTACAGCTCTATTGGGATCTAGGTCTATGCATCCACGGGCCGCTCTATCGTGAAAATCAAAGCTTAGAAACTGCACTGTAGTTTAAGCAATCAGTGATATGCTTAGCGATTTATGCTGTTATATCCTGTCAGTCACAAAACTTTTTAAAAGTTTATGTCAAAGCGATGAAATGCATGGCCAATTCGATCCGACTAGCTGGCATTGCTTAGCCTTCCCGTGCTGCCCACACACTGCAGCTGCTTTGCCTCATGTGGCGCACTTATGTTAGCTGCGTTCGCACAACTCAAAGCGTCTCATTAGTCTTTCTCCATCAATGTTTAACAACATTGACAATGACGGCAACAACTTTACGTTTACGACTGCAAGCCTTGGTCCTGCATCCCTTTCAGCTCTCACCTATGATGTCATTAATTTTATTGCTGGCGGCCTCGTCCTTCAGTTTTAAAAGGACTCTTCGCGTTATGGTCGCCAGCTTCCTCGCGTCGAGAAAGTAGTACGTCCACGAGAAATCCTTGATCAGCTCTCCACTCTTGACGCACCCGGAGCTTCCACCACGACATCCCAAACTGCGGCAAACGCAACAGGTCACGTGGAACCGCTCGGACAGCTATTCTCAAATTGGATGGTATCTACGTATCAAAAAAAGAAAAACGTGACTTGGGGCTGATGTGAAGAAACAGTGAAAAAGAGCATGCTTACCAGCAGCCAACTGTCTCGAAAACAGCCCTCCACATTGGTAGCAAAACAGTACACTATGGACGCCGTCATAGCTCTCAATGCGGACAACGTTTCATCACAGCCTTCGTAATTTCTATGGCATCTGACACTGATGCTTCACCTAACGAACGCCTGTACGCGCGGTGTGCCCGGTCGTCAAAGCACCCACATGCACTGGCGGTCGCGGAAGCTGAAGTGGCGGCAGGCGGGGGCGGCGCGCGCGCAGCGAGTGGCGCAGGTGTCCAGGCTAACCCCGGACCAGGTCACTTGGCCCGAAGAGCGCGTGTTGGGCACAGGGGTGAACGCCAATCTGTAAACTGATCGGCCGGGCGCACGGGGGTCAGGCATACGATGCGACGCTATACCAGACTTAGTAAGAAAAACCGGACAGCCACCATCGCGTTCTAGCCCGGTAGTAGCACGAAAAGAAAGTTGGCATGATCGGAGGATAAGGTATATTGTGCACACATTTCTTGTTGCATTTTAACACGCGCCCGGGTGGCCGGCTGAAAACCCTTTGCTTGCTTCTTGCTTGAAAACCCTTGCTTCGGGTGAGGTTCGGGGCAATTTGACTCCATGAGGTTAAAAAAAACTCATGGAACTAGAGACACTAGATTTACAGCGTTGGCCGACCTGCAAGTGAACTCATTTGTGTCAAAATTTAAGGTTCCTTAGTCATGACCTTGAGGTCAAATTAGATCAAGCAAAACCAAGCCGCAGGTAGATGTTCAAAGTGCTTCCAGACCTCATTATGCAACCGCCTTGAACCTAGATACCTGTTGTAAGCAAAAGGTCACTGGTTTTCAGCTAAGATCTGTGGCCTTTTTTGACCTCCAAGTGGTCAAGGTGATCAAATGCCTACGAGATTGCTCCTATTTTGGCATTTGAATAGTCGTCAGGGTTACGTGGGGTGGTATGTTCCTGAAAACAAAAGGTTGACTAGCGTCGTTTCAGATCAGTGACCTGCTCTGATCTTCCAGAAATCCATGGAGCATGTCTTTTGCGCACCGCGTCATCAACAGATTCGAACTGGGCACAAGAAAGTACTCCATACAGCGAGCTCTTGCGTGAAAAAGCAGTTTAGTTTTGGCCCTTGTTTGACCTTCATACCCAACCATACCCGACATACCCGTTAAGGAAATTTGTTGTAATTATAAATTCGAGTGTTGTATTGCCCCCAAAAACTGTCTCAGAGACGTATGGCTTTGACTAAAATGATGTTGTCGGCATCAGATTGATCGATTCCTTTGAAGTGGCCTTCGCTGACAGCCAAGGCCTGGCTGCCGTGCCGTTCGGGAATCATTCCTTAAAAACCGCCGAGGGATTCAACTGGTCCCTCACCCGAGCGCTAGTGAACAGTTAGCATGAAGGTTGAAAGGTCATTATGTCATGTGTCACAACCCACTCCTATGTCAGATGGGTACTCATACAGAATAAGCAGCGCGTTTGTCCTGATACAGGCGTGGGAAAATTAAGGTGATGGGTAGAGGTATCAATAAAACGTTTATGAATTGTTGGATAAATGGTGCACGAGGACTGTTACACAATGTTGCTGATGTACTCCTTAAGCCATGAGCTACATTAACACCACTTTTGCAGTGGTCATTGCAAACAAGTCAGTTTGGGTGTAAGTTTTTTGAAAATTTCCCATAAATTAAGATCATATTTTGAGAAAATGCATACCGATTGGTAACTGGAGGGCATAACTGATTAGGAATGGACAGCGAATTGGCTTGGGCACAGTCTCATTGTCATCGGGCAGATTTGGTAAAGGTAATCTTACTCATGATGACCTCTACAGTCATGACTTCACGTTCCGCCCTAGGGCAGCCTAATGACTGTTAAGCAATGCTGGTGTCAGGCATCGCACTTTCGACCACAATTTACATCAGCCGGATGCTGTAATAAGAACAGAGATAATCAACCAAACGTCGATGATTATATTTCAGACATCCGAAACGGGTCAAAATGGACAGCGAGCTTTTGGCCTCGATTCATCGATTTACTTGAGACTAACGGACGTATCTCTAACGTAATGTAACGAGCAATCTCACGCTCCTAATACAAAGAAACAGAGCAGAAAGTATAGGTACTTCCGCTGTGGGCCTGCTTCGGTACATGCACATGAGGAAAATGTTCGATTCAAAACATAAACGTGTAGTGGATTAAAAAAACAAAACATGACGCATTGTTCTCGGCGGCGTTTTATAGGGCATCTCGATTAAAGAAAAAATACGTTACCAGATGATGTCATATGCGACAGGCTCCAACAGGCTCCAGGAAAAATTCAAGGTAGTCAATGTAGGCTTCAGGCTTTGCATTTGCATTGACTCTGCGACTTTGATCGAGCAACATCTTTGTATGACTCGAGGCCAGATGTTTTGGGTGGGTTTGTATCGAAGATTTCCGTGTGATGTATGTAAGTGCAGTGGTCGCTTAAAAGTGTATTTTTCGCCTTTTTTGCACCTGGGAGGCGCTCGTTAAAGTCCTCCAGGACGCTACACTTCGCCTTGTCGAAGGAGATGTTTGAGTGGGCTCTGCATATTTGGCAAGTGATGCGGTTCACAGCATTTTGGAATGATTCCCACCCACTTTGCTGGACACAAATCACATGCCTTTTCCGAGCTGGGCAGGCCGGTGGGTCAAGTAATGAGGTGGTTAGCTGCTGAGGTGGGTAGCACTTGACCACCTCAGTCCACCTTGACCGCCTTGGCCACTCACTTGTACAACTTTTTACCTACAAATGCAATGGGAAATTGGTCAAAAAAATATTCTGCGTAAGTAGATATCCTCACAGAATGATTCAACAGGGTAAACATATATCTCAAACATGTGCCAGACGTGCTATGCAGGTATCCACGCGCAAACGACACAGAACTATGGGCGCCACATACATTAGCGTTCGGTTCAAAGCTTACACTCATTAACGAGCATTGATGACAGATAATCACTGGTTGTTTTGAGTAAATCACACACAGAACTAGGTGGTCGGCAGTGTGATGTCGGCAGGCTCCGCTGCAGTCCAGCGCAGCTGATGGGTTGGCTTCCGGGCTGCGCGGAGCTGAACACTGGGATGATGCTGCTGGACAGTAACATGTCCAGTGGGGCCAGCACCATGTGAATCGCAAGTAAAAATAATTTCTTTTTGGATATAAGTTAGGGATTTCGCAAGTTTCCTAGTGTACTAGCAATGTCCGTTGCCACACGGGGAGTTTGCGAACTCCCTAAGGTTTTTCTAAAGAAATTGTAGGCCAGTGAGTTGAAAGATCCCTACTTAGTCTGCAAATCCCTGAGTTGTTCATGCTCACTTAAAAATATTTTTCTGCACTTATTTATCATGCCCAGAGCATGAGGTTGTTCTTATTTTTCTCTATATAAATCACGATGTGACTCACACAATTATCGTTATCGAAGAACTCTTGAAGCCAAAGGCCCACTGTTCATGATGGATTGTTTCAGATGTCCAGCATATAGTTGCTGCCGGTCTAACATATAGTTAGTGCCACGTGGTTGATCACCTCTGTTCCGATAGCAATGTTTACAATCGTACCAGAGACCCGCCGCACACTAACCAGAATGCGTTGATCCTGCGTATATGTTCGGCTGCATGTGTGCCGGTTCATTCTGCCAGAAGACCCTGCGCAAAGCATGCGGTCTGTTTGAAGATGCTGGCTTACTTACGCTCGCAGACGGCTTGCTTCTTCCGACAGTCGAACACGGAGCCACCAGAGCACGACTGGTCCGAAACGCTGCGGACACGGAAAGTACCCATTAGAACGCTCCCTGGTGTCGCTGGCACTTCAGCTCGTTGCCAACACGTACTCTTGAGAAACAGCAATAATTCTCCTTTTGCTTATTGCTGCTGTCACGCTTTGCTTTAACTATCAGCTATCCTATTTTCTGCAAAAGAAGACGATTCAACCAACACAATGTGCAATATCGAGGCAACAGAAGGAGAATGAACATCCGATCTTCACAGTCTCAAATGTAGTCCAAATTATTGCCTGCATTAGCATCATTTGGTGAAGTTAACCAAAGACAAGCAGAAAGAAAAATTGTCCAGACAGTCAAGCCAGGCCCATCTTGACAGTGTCAGTCAGCTTATCATGTCAGCTCTTCACTGTCGTGTCACATCACGCTAGCTGGTAGCTTTCATGTCGTACTGCCAAGCTAACTCTCCACTGCAGTGTTGCACCATCATAAGAGCTCCGTAGAGCAGCATCATCATATAAGCTCTGCGGTGTTACACCGTCATAAAAGCTCTGTGGTGCTATACCATTGTGGAAAGTTACGCAGCGCTGGCGCCGTTCGGCCCGCCAGGTCAGGCCGCGGGTCGCACGTCGCCGGCTCGCCAATCAACGCGTCGGACCCGCATGACGTCACGGGGATGACCTGGCCAGCCGTGCGGTGTTACGACATCGGTGTTACGGCAAGAACTCCTACCGACAGGAATGCTAAAGCATGGGTTATACGCAACATTACTTCTACTGCAAAGTCTTACACATGACATGAGTGTTACACGACAAAATCTATTCTTCAAAAACTTACATACGTCATCACATCTACTGTAAAAGTACGCAGCCTCAACTCCGACATTATTTCTGTTGCAAAAGCCCACACACGACATGGGTGCTGAGAACTACAAGAAAAAAGTTTTACTGCAAAAACTTATAACCGTCATTACTTATATACGGGACTCATACGATCTTACTAAGACGCAACTTACTTTTTCTGCAAAAACTCGCACGATATGAGTGTTATACAACAAAACGTGTGCCGGAAAAATACATAACCGTCATTGCTCCTACAGCAAAAACTTATGCAGTCCTTACCTATAAGCGGCATTACTTCAACTGCAAAGAGTGATAGATGACTCTAGTAATACACAACAAAACTTAAAACTAATAAAAACCTAATTTTAAAAGCCTGCGTTCGTCATCATGCCTGCTGTGAAACCCAGTCAAGTCTTAATTTGTCAGTGCTTTTACTTCTTCGGCTTATCTTTATACGCCACATTTGCGCATTAACACCCGCTCGGGTGGGGGTCAGACTGACCCCCCCCAAGGTTTTTCTAAAATGGTTTCCGAACGACGCGGTGCAGCTGCGCAAAATTTGCATAGCTGTGGGAAATTGAATAACAGATCGTTTAGCATAAAATATTTAGCTTCACTTAATTAAATTAGCTTAATTAGCATCTAAAAGATTGAACTTGTAAGTTCGCTCACCTATGGCAGGTCAAAGTCAGGCCATGGTTGCAGCAGTCAGTTTCTAGGGAATCGTTCAATCTGATGCAACAACGGAGCGTTCGACGAGGCCATACGTCTCTGAGATGCTTTCTTAGGCAACGCCAATGTTGAATGGGCCAATTCCGTTGACCTAAGGTCAGGTAAAAAGGTCAGACCAACGTCAAAACCAACCAGCTTTTTACTCTAGAGCGTGCTGTGAGGGGTAACTTCTGGCGCTCATTTCGAATTGATTGATAGCAGGAACCGCATGATGCAACTTCCATGACTCCTTAGATATCAAAATATGTCACTGACCTGAAATGACCTAGGTCAGCATTTTTTTTTAGCAACATACTACCTGGCGTATTCTTTGTCGCTTATTCAAATGCAAAATCCGGAGAAGTCTTATATGACTTTGGCCACCATGACCCTCAAAAGGTCAAACATGGTCACTAGCCTTAACTGAGCATGTGACCTTTGCTTAGAGACAGTTACCTAGGTTATGGGGACACTTTGGAGACCAACCTGGAATTTGACCTTGTTTGGCTTTATTTGACCCGAAGGTCACAACCTAAGAACCTAAAACTATGACCTAAGTAAGTTCACGTACAGATCAGCACACCCTGTAAATTTGGTCCCTCTAGCTTTCTTAGTTCCTGAGATCTCAAGGGGGAGAGGGTTAAATTGACCCCCACCCGAGGGAAGGGCATCTAGCCGGCCACCCGGGTGCGTGTTAAGATTGAAGCCATAACTCACAAACTTCAACTGTCAGTACTTCCGATCCTAGGCTAAGCCTCACCAAAATCCTGAATGGAACGAACACATGGGAGCACCTTGCTGGGCGAAGCTGCAAGTACCCACCCCATGGTGTCGATGCATTATGACTGCTGTAAATATTGCGACGGACAGTGCTACAACAGCAACAGCTCTACGCGCAATTTTTTCTGCTAAATGACGTATAGTGCACTGCCGTAATGTTACAAAACAATTTTGTGGACAAGCAGATAAAAAACGGCCAAACTGCTCCGAAATGCACGAAACGCGGCGTTCGCTCCAATTTGACACGCTTTTCTATCACAGATGAGGGGCAGATGTGGCCACCGACTGCGTACGTAACGGCACTACTGGCTTGGTGTTCACTGAAACGCGACATTGCATCTGCTTGAAAAGTTTTACTCGTCATTAAGAGTTCGACTTTCACAACAAAGCCTTTGCTCATACGCCAAGCACTACAAATCGAACCACGGACCACGAACATTTAATTGTAATGCGCTCGGTTTGCCTCCCTCCTGGCCTATAAGTTGTTTTTGTATCCCTGCTAGGTGTCAACGCATTTGCCACTCCACACCAAGCATTAACGGTGGAAGTAATGTTGCATATACGTAAATACTAACAAGTTTTCACGGTGAAAGTCATGACATTTGTACATTTTTTAAGCAGACATTTTGTCGTGTAACACTAATGCCGCGTCTAAGTTTTTGCAATAGAAGCATTGCAGTGTATTGCAACGGTTGTGCAAGTTTTACGGAGGTCATGATGGGCATTAGTTTTTGGAGCATTAGTATTGTTGTGTAACACTAATAGCGCGCAAAAATTGTGCGGCAGAAGAAATGTTGTGCATAATCAATTGCTGTACGAGTGTTTTCAGTAAACGTAATGGCGAGTATACATTTTTGCGGAATGAATTTCGTCATGTAGCAGCAATGTCGTGTACAAATATTAGCAGTAGATGAAATGTCGTAGCACTCCCATCCGCAGGAGTTTTTGTTGTAGCACTAATGTCGCGGAAAGCCGCCGAGCTCGCCCCGGGCGCGGGCTCACGGTCGGGACGCGCTCGGGTAGCGTGCAGAGCATCGCTGTTGCTATCAGAGACATGAACAACATCATCAAAGTGACCGCGGTGTTTCAAGACCGGAACAGAGCAGTGAGGGGGAGCGAACATAACATTGCGCAACCGGCAGCTGCGGACCTGCAGTTTGCTAACGAGCAAGCCAATGTTTGATTTTTGGTCAAGACACCAAACCCGCCGATATGGAAGAAGAGACCGGCTTCATCGACAGCCTCACGCAGCTAATGAATGCCCAATTTGAAGTCCCCAGACACCACGAGGAGCCGCCTCTCCGCTGCCCGCCCGCGCGAAGAAAAGCTGACAGCTCTTCTGGTGAAGACACTGCGGCTCCCTTAGTCAGCACCTTTCAAGACCCACCATCGAGACGTCATCGTAGACTAAGTGCTTATCGGAATGCCTGCACTGATTAGAAGAGAGCAGCATGCAGCTTTTAATGCAGTGCTTGACTCCCAGTGGCTTCGTGTTACACAACACGGCCTTGATCGCGTCGAGAAAATGGGGCTGCACGTCAGGCGCCAAAGGGGAATCATCCTCGACAGAAGATAATGTTCACATGAAAATAGAAACCAGACGGAAGTTTCGATGATTTCTTTTATTAGTCTCAAAATCGCTAACTTCTATAATTTTTGCTAGCACTGCGGAGCTAATCAGCTCCAGGATCGCACAGTCATGGGTACAAACGTTGAAGACGCCCTGAAGACCCTGCTGAACGAAAAAGGCCTCGTGTTGCAGGCAGCCAGACATTTACCCTACTCAGGAGAACACACGGACCACCAGCAACGCCCTTCAACCCAATTGCATGAGTCAAGGAAAAGTTTCTCGCTACCAGCGGGATCGTAGAAGCGGCAGTTCAAAACCACCGGCCCAGCACCAGAAGACGTGCAGCTTCCGCGGTGGAGATGGCACGAGAATCTGTCGCAGTGTTCTGCTCGAAAGCACATCTGCATCACCTACATATGGAGTAGACACCTGAAATCCACATGTCGCAGCGGACAAAACTCCAACAGAAAGGAAAGAGGGGACAGCCTGAAGTGCAGGAGAGCGGGATCCGTCATGTCGTCTTACCTGGCGTCACCGTCAACGACGCCAGGCGAAGGATAACTTTGAAGGCGCCTCAGGTAAGCACCACAGTCCGCACCACTCGAGGAAACAATGGCCTACCCCGGACGCCTGGCACTGGTGCAGAGGCACCTGTCATCGGGTGAGAGGAAGCCAGACAGCTTAGTGTTAGGCTGCCTTCGCCTGCCAATGAGCTGCTGGCAACGGACAGAAGCCGACTGGCATGCCTTGGCGCGTGTGAAGGACATCTGGAGCTGGGATTGAGATCAACGGCAGGAAGAATCTCAATCATTCAAGAACTTCGTGGAGCGCTGCTCTCATGATACCCTTCCACTGGCCTTAGATTCATACTGGGAAACTTCCCAGCTCAGATATAACGCGTTGTCAAGATATAAAACGCTACGAAGACGAATATCACGGATGCTGGGCAGTCTTTCAAACGTTCGGACGAAAACCAGCTGGCACAACATAAGCTAGAAAAATAGCCTGGAAAACACAACCATACCACATCAAGCATAATCCGGGAAACCCCACGAAGGCTGAAAAAGAATGACGCCTCAGCAACCACAGGTTTAGAGCCCCCTGCAGAAGCAGGATTGGTGCGTTCTGGTGGCCACGTACCCATGGATAGGCTGTTGCACATTCCGCTGCGGGGCCTACGCGAGACAGAGACAATTCCATAGTGAATTCTGAGCTTCGCCTCAATCGAGCGAAAGGCCGTCCAGCAACGAGACGCTATAAACGTCTTGCTGGCGTTTGGCTGTGTGTGGCTTGGTGCAGAGCGGGAAAGAGACCAAATGTTTCAACACGTAGCTCCATGCTTCGCATGTGGAGTGACTGGGCTACCACGACGCTCCATCGTTGCGTGTGGACAGGCTGATGGTGCTTATCCGTTCGAGTCTCCAAGTGCTGGAGCTGGATCTCAGGGCCCACTTCACCGCAGGCTCGCGAGGACTGAGAAACGGCTGACAAACCGGCTCTGGTGTCCGGCCATGAACTCGTAGGTTCTCCATGCTACACAGGCTCCCGTCGCACGCCCCATTTGACGAGTAAGCCAGGCTGTGCAGACCAGCACTCGTCCGAGCCCCGTCGTCAACGTCAGGACCTTGAGTGGGGGCATGGCGGATCCATTCGGCCCGTTGCTGTTGTTATTGGGGCTTCACGACGCGCCCAGCTGCTGAGGCGATATGGCGTCGCCTGCCTTTCAGCGTGGCAGGAAGGGCGGGCACCGCGGGGAATCGAACCCCGTACCTCTGGTTTCCCAGACGCGCGGTGGTTAACGAAGACGCGTTAACCAAAACACCACCAGCATCCTCCAATCGGCCCGATGGCTGGTCCGCCGCACGAGTGGCAGGGATCAGTCAGGGAGACATTGATAGTCGCTAGCAGGAAGTGGCGCTGTACCACGAGGTCATGGCAGCGGTGGTTTCCTGGCCTCCGCGTTCAGCAGGGTGCGCAAGGAGGCCTGGCGCATGAAGAACAACGGTCCACAGCTCCCGTCCGTAGCGCTCAGGCGTTGGGCTCAAAACGAGTATATGCACCACATTTTCAGCGCGCTACTTTCAACGCATCCGCGTGGCAGACCACCGAGGCAACCGCTGGTGGCATATCCTTGACGATTTTTATCGGACCGCGGACCGTCATTGGGCCGGGAGCCTGGGTAGGTAACGTTGTTGCGTTCTGTGCGCAGACATTAGGTGTGGACGTCTGCCGGCCTCGCACGGCGCACGGTCCACTCTGTTATCTCCACAACAGCACCGCTGTCGTCGGCAGAATGGCGGGGGTCTCTGTCGAGGGCAGGAGTGCTCCCTTACACCCCTGATGGAAGTACCACAAGCTGCTGCAGGCCAGCTGAAAAACCAGCGCCCGGCAAATGCAACACGACGCCGTCACGTTGTCACGCTACCTGGCTACTGTCGTGCGATGCCGCCTCTCCAACCTCGTCGCTTAGAGTCAGATCTAGATCGGCGTCCCTGGGCACCGCTGGCAGTGGGGCGGTGCTATAGGCACACGGAAAGCACCTCACCTTGGATCCGGGCAGACGAATTCGTCACGACCGGTCGCCGCTTGTCGCGTATGCCTGCCTCCTTGCAGGGCATCGTCCGATGCAACAGGGCTGCGAACGCCGCGGATCACCGCTGTGTGTGGTCACCGATGCAGGGCCGCACAGTGCACAGGGAACCATGTCAAACGGCTGGGAGAGAGTACTGTGTCACCAACTGCGGGCATGGTCATGGGAAGCTACGCTTGCACGCTTGCGTTCAACATTGAGCCAGGAGCTTTGGAATTAAAATGATGTTCTTTTCAGGACCCACGAGGGGGCATGCCACTGGAACTCTTCCGTTTTGTTAGGCCTTTAATGTTAAATTATTTGATGAGCAGCACCTTTCTTCTCTTTTCCATTAGATGAACACTCCACAGCCTCTCATCATGGCACGACAGGTCATCCCTACAATGGAGAAAGTAAGAGCCGGTAACCAAAAGATCATTGCTGGACGCATGCCTTTGCATGGCATAAGACCCCTGCGCGGACCGAAGAGAGAATATGCTTATTAGCGGGTCTTGTATTACAATCAACGTAACAGTTAATGTAAGTCACGGCATAGCTCGGGCTATTGTTATAGAAGACAAAATCATAGCTGATGATCGGCGACCACGTGCATTCACTTACCTGTGGAATTGACTATTCGCATCCTGCTGGGGGTCTGAGACGACTGGCTGTGCACGGTGCACTTCTGCAAAGAGGGTCGGCATAAATATAGCGTTCCAGACGCAAGATACCCCGCACATTCCCAATGACCTTGCCACTAGCTCAGCATTTTACACTGGTCGTCTTCAGTTTTGTCGATCACGCCGGCGGTGGAAAACAAAACCGTGCCACCTCGATAACGCCCGTGTTGGTAGCAACGAGCTCGCATGCAGAGTTGAGCCAAAATGTATAGGTGTAAAGTGCAAGCCATTTATGGATCATCGGCGAATGCAGCGTCCTCAAATGAGGGAATGGAAAAGTCCGAACTTGAGCAGAGCGCTCTCAAGCGTATGACACTGATTGATTCTCTTCTCCATATGGTGATAATTTTATCCGCCTCTTGAAGTAGCGCAGATCGATGGTGGTCAGGATACGTGAAGTTGTTTTGACAAAATAAGTGCATGCGCATTGTTGAGACGCTTTCAGATTTCAGGCAGCTACCGCCTCCAGCCGCATTCGACACCTGTCGCCGCCCTGAGCGTGACTTGTACGCCCGCCTCCGCTCCACGTCAGCTCGGCAGCGTCGTCACCACTCCGCTGATTACGCGACAACCCGTTGACATAACAAAACAGGCTGAAATCAGAGCCGCCGTCGCCTACTGCTTCCTGCAAAACATGCTACGACAGCCTCTGCAATAGCCGAATATTTGTCACCGAATACATGGTCTACAGGGAGCTAACAACTATCATATGAGCAAGCGTACCCCCAATTTTGGGGTCGAAACTACGTTGGTCCATCATCACTTCCTTGCCGAATGCATGCACCTATAACAATCCAAAGTCTTCAAAAAACATAGTACAAGCCTGCTCGTAATATAAAGTGAGTGACACGAACACTGTTCTCAGTCAAACATGTCATATCAGCGATAAAGAAGGTCACCAGCTGATACACACGCGCGAGAAGTGTGCGAGTTGTCATGGCATGCCTCACATAAGTCAAGCCGCAGCCCTTTTAATTGCGGTGTTTTATCACAAATTTGGGCAAACTGGACGAAGCACCGCCAGTTAATATGCTTTATCATTTATGATCGAGCGCTCTTACTTCTTCGAGCTAATGGATGTTGAGTCTTCCTAACATGTTGGGAAGTATGAGTTCCGCTCCGGTAATAATTTTGCGAAGATAGTGAAGGTCGCCTGCGCACGCAGCTGATTGTACAATGGCGTCACAAAACCAAAGATTATATTGTTGTCAGGTACTTGTAGAGCCATGTTATGGGTATATATAACTCTACGGGGACCCAGTTTTGCAAAATACGTAGGCTTGAGGGATGGAGGGGGAGGGAGGTGCAGACAAAATGAATGAGTCTGCCTCCAAAATGCACTTAAAGCAGTTTTCTCCACAGATCTGACGCACTTTCTTTTCACAGTTGGAAGCAGGAGTGCAGTTTTTCGAAACTGGTTTGGGGAGATTAACCCTAAAATGCGTTCTTGATGAATAATAACGCTTAAAAATGGTAACTGAAGATAAGGAACTCCATCCGTGGTCAGGGGGCACAATCCCTTCCCCCATCTGAATAGGAAACTACACGCCTCACAAGTTGGTTATGCTAGGTTTCCCGTTATCTGATAATTTTATTAGTTACGTCTCAATCATCATTCAGCGCTTGATGGCCAGAAAGTGATACTTGAGTGCAAATGAACTCACGAATTTGTTTTGTTATGCAGCATTGCATTAAGGTTGCCTTTGTTTTATGGTTTATTGCGTTTAGAGTTAAAGTACAACGGTTCCCGAAAGATTCGGCGACAGATGACAATTTAGATGGTTCTAGATTTCGTTGGTGACAGAAAAGGCACTTTTCTCACCCCTAGATGAAGATGCCCTTTGAGTGCACACTTTGGTACATAAAAAAACATTGCCTCATTTGGTCAGTCCATAGCACAAAACAAAGCGCAATCACGGCGTTCAACATGATTGTTAACTCGATGAAATCAAACATGCGATATTGTAAAAAGGCATGGTGCAACTATAACACGCGAATGCATCCTTAAAAATCAAAATCCTAAAGAGGACGGTAGGAAAACGTGTTTGTTGAGAAACATTTTTGCTGCCTGTTCTACCATATGAAGGAAATAACATAAGAAAACGCTGGGAACCTATAAGATACTGTGTGATACAAAATGGGCAAGACTAATAATGGTGCCCCCGGAACTTACTGTATTTTTTTTTCGATGACCCATCGCTTTCATATGCATTGGGGACTCAGGGGGATGTCGGCGGAGGGGGGGGGGGGAGGAGAGGGAGGAGGAAGATGCTTAAGTAAGCGTTGGAGAGATCATCCCTCCTCCCAAAAGTATATAAAATTACACCCTTGAACCGCCTTACATGTCGTAGCACGTGGGTGCAAGCCAGCCGCTAGAGGTTTCGTGACATCACATCGTCGTCGCACGTCGTGACGTCACGAAAGTTTTAGCATCTTCATACCTTTCGCTGCAGACACACTGACTTAACATCGCACACAGTCTCCAGGAACGAAGTCGTTTTCTGGGTGTGCAGCTCTGGGGCATGGAGATGAAAATGGAAAATCGATCAGTACTCCATCCTTATAGTTGCTTTATTTCAATTTGAAATGTCAGAGAAGGTGTTAGTGATTTCCATTATTTTTTTCCTTCCTTTGTAAGGAATGCCGACCCAGGGTGTATTCGTAGCGCATCCATAATGTTCCTTTATACGTAACGTCGCGTAAAATCTTTGCCGGAGATGTTCGTATTGCGACGCGTTTTCTGTTTACATCTTCGTATCTGCCGTAACAAAAGCTACGCATGCAGGCACTAATATTTTTGTTTACGTTTGCTACACGTGATCCTGACAATGGTGATGGCAAGCATTTTTAACACTGGTAGTCGGTCTGGACACGCCGATTGCCTTGTTTACAATTGAATCAGCTGCGCCATTTCTGGCTCAGTTAGATTAAGTCATCGAACAGGATTCTGTGCGCCGGCATAGCTTTGAAGCACACTATGTGACCAGCGTGATCAACGCGCCCTAAAACCGCCAAAAAATAATAGGAATAAAAAACGTCTGGACAACTCAATGTTTTCACGTGTGTGATGCCTCGCGGACAAACTAAATATTTGATCCATTTTTTAAATTTTGCTTTATCCCAACCATCCGAAAGCATGAATTTCTGGGATCAGACCTCACGCTTATCAGTGAGCCCATCCGATCGCGCACTTCCAAGTCAATGATGAAATGCGGTGGCAAAAGTTTAAAGTGCCGCAATGCTCGGCACGGCCCACCCTGCAAAATTAAATGCCTGCATTCAATGCAAACGTGCTAACGTTGCACACAGAGTCACACACAGTTGACAGCTAGACCATCACATAGTTATGTTTCCCGCTGCACCAGGCAGCCACCCGTCATCTGATCACGGCCAGCGTGCCGTTTACCAGCTCACCGTCATGGCGAGCAGCCAGCGTCCGTTGGGCCAGCAGCAGGACGCACAGGGCGAGCGGCGCGTCGGCACGCGGCGCCATTGGTGGGCCCACCGTGGCACGGAAGCGCGCTGCTGCTCAGGTCAGACGCCGCGCAGCGCGCACTGCCCGGACAGCGGTGCACACGGACGCGGTCGCCAGCTGCTCGCGCCGGCCTAGGCCCGTGCAGAACCGGTCCAGCGCAGGCGTCCGGCCGCTCAGGGACGGAGACGTAATGTGGCTTCTGAGCGGCATGTAAAGCCCCTCGGCGGGCCGGCCCGAGCCCAGCGGCGAATACATGCTCAGGAAACTGAAGGGAAAGTGTGATGAATGACGATCTGTCAAAACAAAGATATTGATCGGGCTTCGTCGGGAGTGTCATTTGTTAAGTACCGTTCTGTCTGTCAGATACTGATGTATGCATTTATTGTGTCGTACCTGACGGGTCTCATACGACCCACTCGGCAGTGGCGTAAGCAGCAGGAGACGAACTAGTGCCGGGGAGGGGGGGGGGGGGGGGGGGCGGGAGGTGATAACTACCGTGTGCAAACCGTTAATACAAAAGGGTCGTAGTCTTCTGGCGGCCGACGATCAGCCGGCGGTCGGTGGTAGCTGGACGTCCTCTCCCCCCCCCCTCCCCATCCCACTGGTTTCCAATGAAGCTGCCCCGCGGGGCGTTCGCATGACAACGAGCCCTCGTGCAAGCGGTGTCAGCGGGTGTGACGAAGAGTGAAGAAGGCTCTCCATGAACAGCTGTACTAATGATGGAGTTGGGAGACGTACCCGTAGATGCCCGATAGGCAAGTGTATTTGCTCGTCCTAATGACTCAGTCGGTTAGAACGCCTGTCTCCTGAATCACCCACCCGTAGCGGAGTGAGTTCGAGTCGCTTTAGGCGCTCGCTATTTGGCCTTGGCCGGTGTGGCCTGTGGCCGTTAGCAGCGGCAGCAATAGAGGTCAGATGACGTCAGAGGGCAGGACGGAGCGTGCCAGGAATTGCGGCACGTTAAGCTTTCGCCTCCGAAATTTGCCGCTGACATAGAATCGCGCAATCGGATGGTAGGGGTCAGGGCTCACACAATAAGTACTGCTTAGCGTGAGCTTAGATCCCAAAAGCCCATCCATTCGAAAAGTTTTGCTTAAATCTTAACGAAAAAACCCTCAGTGTCATGCAATCGTGCAATCGTTTGCTACAAACAAAAAGGGTATTAAAGAAAATATGACGTCATCGCAACCTTCTTGAAATCGCTTAGCTTGGCCTCAGCGTACTTGGTGCCTTCGAGGTCGCTAGCAAACAGGTACTCTAGACCTTAAAAACGGCGCTGCCCATTGTGCTCTCAATAAGCGACTCTCAATAAGCGAAATGGTGGAATGGTTTCAGAAAGAGAGCAAAATATGTGTGAGCATACCTTGAAGGTGACTAGATGCCAGAGGAATGATTAATCGCTGTCTAAGGCGAGACAATGACCATGGTGCCAACTTTAAGGAGGGACAAAACGTGAGACCGTGGCGAAGAATGACCACAATCTGCATTCTAAATCCCGCACTGGGATTTCGCCGCTGATTCATGCGTTGGTATGTAAATATCATATTTCTGAAGAAATTTTCCCCATCCCTCCCCAGACGTCAGTGTGCACTTTCTACGCTGGAATACGTTATTAAACGCAAATACCACGGCGTGCAGGTAAAAAGCTGGGTCTCATGTATTACATAAGCCTTTACAAAAATCAGGAGCAGCATTCGCAGTTTTCTGGCCGAACGCCAGCGACTTCTGCGCGCGGTTGTGCGTTCCATCAATACCACGGCAGCCTCTTGTCTGGCGCCAGCTGTCAGCCGTACAGCGTTGACCTCCTCTTGAGCAGCGTCGCACGCTCGTCGTCCATCTGGTGGGGGTATCAGCCGACGAAGGACAGACCAAGCGGCGGGGCAGTTGCCAGCGGTCAACGCATGGCCGGAAACGGCATTTCAGCCGAAGAGGACAGCAGTGTCTCGCGCTGCCTTCTTGCTTGTCTTCGAAGCCTGGCCAAGTGTAGAGCGGCATCAGCTTCTTCAGCTTCAAGGTGCCCATCAAATCAGCCGCGCGGGAGCCGAGACTACCATGCGTACGCTGTCAGTTCATGTTTCTCAGAATGACAAGAAAATTTGCGTGCAAAAGAGCACATTTTCAGCCCGAAAATGTTGATCTGTAAAAAGCTTTGCCATCATTCAGTTTAGGCCAATATATCGTTAAACCTTGCTTGCCCTTTTCCCCCTCCCATGGCTTAGAGTTAGAATCTAGGATGAGTGAAAATAATGATAAAGAGTCCATGGCAGAAACAAAAGCATCATGTCAATCAGGAAATGACAACTGCAATAGTTTCCAATTCTTAGCCATTTACATGCACAGGGGGCTGCAATTAAAATGACAATGACTAGGTACCGATGTGATTTTGCCTCTAGCATGCGGTTAACTGCGATTTGGACAATTATTCAACGCTCAATATATATTGGAGGCGCCTCAGTCGGAGCGCCAGTTTGATGCATGACTCGAAGACCGTACCTTTCGGACGCCTACAATATCGACACAAAACTGGTTCTGACATCCCACGGCGGGGCCGACTATCGGTCTTCGTATCACCTCTGCAAATACTACCCTTCCGACCGGCGAGCAAGTCACGTGATTGCTATGTCCACCCACGACACTGATTGGCCTGAGGATGTGAACATGCGTAAACATTGGAGTGGCGTCGTGGGGTGACCAGGCTGGGACGGTGAGCGGGGCTGGATGGGAGAGGCAACACGGGGAACAGGCGGGCCCAGTGGCTGTAAGGCTGCGTCTTATGGCTCCACGCAGCACCAGGACGCATAGATAGCAGCGTAAGAATGACCCAATAAAACTACGCACGCCAATCAAAATAGAGGAACAAGTCATATGTGTTCATATCCCTCAGACTACTCAGTACCGTGTGCGGACATAGTGATCACGTGGCTTACACGCCGGTCGGAAGAGTCGTATTTGCAAAGATGAAACGAAGATCCGACAGTCTGCCCCACCGTGGGGTGTCAGAACCAGTTTTATGTCGATATTGCAGGCGTTCTTGTAAGGCTGGGTCTTATGGTTCCATGCAGTACGGTGGCGCATATTTAGCAGCGTAAGAATGGCCCATTAAAACTACGCATGCCGATTATGCTATAGGAGCTATGTGTGTGTCCGCTATTCCTTGGAATCAAGCACATGTTAAAAGGTGGGAAAATTTAAAGTGAGATTTTCACACGACCAAGGGCTGCGGGCACTGCGCATCTTCGTCCCGTTTTAATTCTGCGTTTCGCAAAACGAGCGCGTGGTGAGCGAAAAAAGTCCCCAAAATCCGGGTTTGACGTGGGCGGTGCAAATCTCACAACCACCGACCAACAGCCCGACACGCGTGCCCTCCCAGAGCGACACCCCAAAAACGACGGGCTGCAAAGACACAGGAAATTACATGGGCCAGCGGGTGATGTAAAGTTTGCTGTGCCAAGCCACACATGGCACGCGCGTAGGTGTTGAAAAGATGAACTTGGCCGCTTTGACAGGTTTTTGCACTTTGGGTCACATCTCGGCACTCAGTGCAGGTAGAGCCGTGAATTATGTTTCCAACGGTCACAGTTGCGGCGGCCACAATTGCAGTATACATCACGAGGTTGTGCGATGCACGGTTGCGCTACAAGTTGCAAGACATTTGCATGCGGCGAAGTTTAAAACGTTGCGCCGAATGTAAACCTCTACCCTCGAAACTGTCGATAATTTAGTATCGAAAACTGCCACAACGTGTTCACCGATTTATTCTGTTTCTTAACCACCCTTCTATTAAGTATATTTTGTAATGGTTCGTTCGCCAATGACCATTGACCAATGACCAATGACCAATGACCATCGTTCGCCAATGACCACGCCAACTAATGTATTGCATGGCAGCCTCTTACGCCGTCAGGAAAAGGTGGTGTCGCGTCCCCAGCCGCCGCCGGTGGTTATTTCAAGGTCAGACGGCCATTTGCACGTGTGCTCGCTGCCGCACTTCACTGTCCTCGACCGATTGTGCTATCTCGCACAGACATCTCGACAACGATGGGTCGAAGCGACCCGGCAGTGGCACGAAAGGATGCACAGTGCAGCATGGTACTCTAGCACGCGTCACGTTTCACGCGTTTAAAAATGGATTTTGCTCTCTTCGACAGGTTTACACGCTTACGCAACATCTCGGCGCACATGGCTTGGAGCGACACAGGAATGGTACGATTTGATGAGGAGTGTGAAGGGCAATGTGAGCGTGATCAGTCACACGTGTCACGTGTCATTGTTCACACGTTCTGAAATGTTGATTTTTCTATTGCAATGTCTCGGCGCACATGAAGCGACTAGAGAGTAGCATGCTTTGATAGGCAATCTTACAGGCAATCACGGGATGTAATATGTGGTGTTGCACGTGTCATGCGTCATGCGCATACTAGCTGTGAAGATGCATTTTGCTGACTTCGTCGCTTTTTATGCCTTACGCCACATTTCCGCCCAGGGCGTGTAGCGACGGGGGACTGGCGCGCGGCGATCAGGAATTAAGCGGCCAGTCGTGTGTTCCCACGTGTGTGCACGCACGGGTCACGTGACACGCTCACACGCTCCGTAAATATTGAATTTTGTAGTGGGTGGGCACGGGAGCAAGTATTGCATGGGGGCAACTGTGATATCGCCAGTGCACATATGACCCGGGAAGATGGATGATGGATTTCGCAGCTTACGACCATTTTTACGTTTCACCCAGCACCTCGGGACATAGGGTGCGAAGCGATTTGTGATTGTTATGGAACAATAGTGAGTGAAACGGACGATTGGGTGGCATTAACATGCGCCCGGGTGGCCGGCTGGATACCCTTCGCCCGGTTGGGGTTGGGGTCAATTTGACCCCCCTGAGATGTGGGGAACCAAGAACGCTAGAAATATCAAATTTACCGGGTGCATTGACCTGTACGTGGACTCACTCAGGTCCAAATTTGAGGTTCCTAGGTCATGATATTTGGGTCAAATAAGGTCGAAAAGGTCAGATTCCAGGTGAGTCTTCAAAGTGCCCCCAGAACCTAGATAACTGTTTCTACGCAAGAGATCACATGCCCATCTAAGGCTAGTGACCTTGTTTGGCCTTTTGAAGGTCATGGTGACC